ACACATAATTATGCATAGATTCAGGTTTAATATTAATGTTAAAATTTGTTCTAAGGCAGCTGGAGAGATGGATCAGAGGTTAAGAGCACTGAGTTCAATTCCCAGCAACCACATGGTGGCTCACAACCATCCATAATGAGATCTGGTGCCCTCTTCTGGCCTGAAGGTATACATGGAGGCAGAACACTGTATACATAAAAAATAAATCAATCTTAAGTTCATGGCTGGGTATAAGGTTAAGGTTTGTGCTAATGTTTGGTTTATGGTGAGGGTAGGGATGTTAGCGCTAGGACTAGGCTAGTGTTTGGATTAGGACGAGATTTAGTTATTGGGTTATATATATATTTTTTGTTTTGTTTTTTTTTTTTCGAGACAGGGTTTCCCTGTGGCTTTGGAGGCTGTTCTGGAACTATCTTTTGTAGGCCAGGCTGGTCTCGAACTCACAGAGATCCACCTGCCTCTGCCTCCCGAGTGCTGGGATTAAAGGCGTGCGCCACCAACGCCCGGCTATTGGGTTATATTTATGGTTTTTTTTTTTTTGTTTTTTTTGTTTTTTACGAGACAGGGTTTCTCTGTATTGTTTTCGAGGCTGTCAGTCCGGCCTGGCCTCGAACTCACAGAGATCCTCCTGCCTCTGCCTCCCGAGTGCTGGAATTAAAGGTGTGTGCCACCACCGCCCGGCTATGGTTATGTTTTTATTTAGGGCATTGGTTCTCAACTTTTCTGATGGTGTGACCCATTAACACAGTTCATATTGTGGTGACCCCCAGCCATAAATTTTTTTTCTGAGATAGGGTTTCTCTGTGTAACTTTGGAGCCTATACTGGCACTTGCTCTGTAGGCCAGGCTGGCCCTGAACTCACAGAGATCATCCTACCTCTGTCTCCCGAGTGCTGGGATTAAAGGTGTGCACCACCACCACCTGGCCATAAAATGCTGTTTGTTGCTACTTCATTTCTGTAATTTTGCTGTTATGAACTGCAATGTAAATATCTGATATGCAGGATATCTGATATGTGACCCCTGTGAAAGGGTCATTTGACCCCCTTTAGAGGTCATGACCCACAGATTGAGAAACATTGATTTAGGTACAGGGCAGATTTAGGTTAGAATGGGATTAGGTTTAGGTTTTATTATGGCTAAGACTACATTTGTTGATAGGATTAAGGTTTGGGTTTGGCTCAATTTAGGTTTAAGAGTTATAGGTTAGCTAGGATTATATGGAGTCTAAGGTTATTTAGGGTTAGAGTTAGTCTTAAAGCTCTAGATTAGGTTAGAGTTGAATTTAAATCAGGGTTAGCGTTCTAGCTGGGGTTAGGTTTAAGGCTGCTTTTAGACCTGGGTTTTCTGTTAGATCTTTGGTTAATTTTATGGTTGTAGTCGGGCAGACAGAATGCTGTATACATAATAAATAAATCTTTAAAAAAATCAAGGAAACTTTCTGAATAAGGCTTCTTAGGAAGCCAGTAGTGACGATGCTTCCTTATATGACTTCCTGAGAGGTAAGCATCATCTCTAAAGGCGTGCAAGGGTTTCCTCCCCATCACTATGAGTTGCTCACTTCAGGTCTATCTGGCTACCTCATTAAGCAGCAGTCCCATAAGCCCTTGACTGAATTTGTTAGTTATTACTTAAGATAAAATGTGTAGCCAGGCGTTGGTGGTGCATGCCTTTAATCCCAGCACTCAGGAGGCAGAGGCAGGCGGATCTCTGTGAGTTCGAGGCCATCCTCCAAAACAGTATGTCTCGAAAAAAACAAAACAAAAAAGCCAAAAGAAAAAAAAAGGTAAATAGTATAATCCTAGACTCGGGAAGCAGAGGCAGGTGAATTTCTGAGTTCGAGGCCAGCCTGATGTACAGAGTGAATTCCAGGACAGCCAGGTCCACAAAGAGAAACTCTGTCTTGAGAAAAGAAAGGTTATTATTTAACAGTGATGTATTTGTGCCATTTTGACAAGGGGTCAATTGTGCCAGTTTTTTTTTTTTTTTGTCAGCAACACAAGCTGGGAAGAGGACACTTCAACCTACGTGTATATCTGTGTGAAGGTGTCAGATCACCTGGAACTGGAGTTATAGGCAGTTATGAGCTGCCATGTGGGTGCCGGGAATTGAACCCTGGGTCCTCCGGAAGAGCAGTCAGTGCTTTTAACCTCTGAGCCATCTCTCCTGCCCCCACATTCTCTTGATTAATGATTGATATGGGGAGGCCCAACCCACTGTGGACAGTGAGACCCACAGGCAAGAGGGCTGGGGTTGTATAAGTAGGCTGTGAAAGCTATAAAAATCAAGCCAGTAATCAGAGCTCCTCCATGGTCTTTGCCTCAGCCCCTGCCTCAGGGTTCCTGCTGACTTTCCTCAGTGACCGGCTGTGATGTGGAAGGGTGAGATGAAATAAACCAAGTTGCTTTTTCTTGTGATGTCTACTACAGCAACAGAAAGAAGACTAGGACACTCGCTGATCTTAGAAGCTAGGTTTCAGAAATGCCTTTTTAGTTTGTGCCCCAAATCAGGAACAAGCAGCCAGCCTTTCCAGTTAACGGACTAGGTAGAGTGAGGATTTCTTTCAGCATTGTCAGTGTTTATCTGATTTCTTCGTGGTCAGAACAGTTTGGTGTGGATCCTTGTTCTGAAGAAGGAATGAGAATCATCTTCTCAAGTATTTCAACCCCCTTTCATCTACATGTTGCAGAAGCACTCAACTTAATCAGTGCATTTGCTTGCATGCTAATTATTTACTTGAAGGGCTCCTGATGTGTTCCGGCAAGTAACTGATTTTTTTCCCCCCAAGACAGTGTTTCTTCTCTGTGTAGCTTTGGAGCCTGTCCCGGAACTCACTCTGCAGACCAGGCTAGCCTTGAACTCACAGAGATCTGTTTGCCTTCCAGGTGCTGGGATTAAAGGTGTGTGCCACCAATGCCCAGCAATGGGTTATTTTTGTAAACTGTGGGGCAGGTAGAGTCAGTACTGATGCACGCAAAGTTCTTCAAGCCACACAGCTGCTAAGATGATCAGTAAATCCTGCTGAGTAAACTGTATCAGGAACTTCAAAACTCCCATTTTTAGACAGTGTCAAGCTGCTGCATTACAGTCGACTTGTTTCTGGAGAATTGGTCTAGACGTGACTTATTAAGTGTTCATATGGCACATGTATGAGTATGCAAGTGTGTGACTGTACATGCACATGGGGAGGCCAGAGTGCAGTATCAGGTGTCTGTTGGCTCCTGCGTCATTGATGCCTTAACTAAATGATAATTACTGTCTGGGCACCATTAAGCTGGGTACCATTAGATCCCAGTATAAACAGTTACCCATCTCAGAGTCAAGGACTTGACTTGGGATACAATGAAGGGGGGTATTTGAGAGCCAAACTTACATGTTAAGTTTTAATTACTGTGTCTAAGAGACCCATGCAACAAAAATGCTTCTGATCTGCAAGCCACTTGCCCAAGAACAGACAGTTCCTGAAATGCTGGAGGCTATTGCTCTCTGGGAGATAGCAAACCACATGTTTTTATTCCCCTGAATAAGTTTTTTGATCCATCTGCACCGGATGTGCTTGATCACATGTGTGTTTACCAGATTGGAAACCATGCAAACCATGACTCACGGCCATTTTCTGGAAACCCAGAGATGAGCCCAACTGGGTTGGCTGATGTTTTACACACACACACACACACACACACACACACACACACACACACACTCTGTGCATACATACAAAATGTATATATATATATGTACAGTCTAAATGCATGTCAGAGAATACTAGGGCAGAGGCTCAATCTATGTTGTTACAGGCAGAATCCATCATCTCTGTTGGGTAAGGCTTTCCAGTTGGGGGAACAGTATCCACAACCCTATGGGACCCTGATAAATGGCTTGGTTCTGCAGAGTGAAGTTGTGGCTGTCAAGCAGGATCTAGAAAGTCCACTGCTAACCTTTGCCTACTGTTTTATAAATACCATCTCTGTAACAGTCTGAACTCCTCCCTGGCCACCTGGCTGCTTGTGCTATGATGGCAGGGCTTGGCAGTTACGACAGAACCTCTACAGTCTGTTAAGCCAAACCAAAGTTCACCCTGGGGAACCAATGAATGTACTAGAGTTACTTACAGATCATGGGTGACCCTGAAGCAGTGCACAGGAAGGCCAGCACTTAGCATGGATGATGACTCCTTCACGGTTATGTAGATGGACCCCTCTTCCCTCCCTTTAGCTCTCCCCACCGCTACACTCTTAGTGTCTCCCTAGATGTGGAAGTCACATGTTATGGCAGAATTACATGCAATTGGCTGGGAGGAACTGCTGGATACTAGGGAATGCCAACAGCTAATAAGCTGAATTGTGGTGATCTTTTCCAAGCAGGAACAATTGAACTTTTTTTTTTTGGTTTTTCGAGACAGGGTTTCTCTGTAGCTTTGGAGGCTGTCCTGATACTCACTCAGTAGACCAGGTTGGCCTGGAACTCACAGAGATCTGCCTGCCTCTGCTTCCCAAGTTCTGGGATGAAAGGTGTGTGCCACCGTCGCCGCCACCGTCGCCGCCACCACCACCACCACCACCACCACCACCACCACCACCACCACCACCACCACCACCACCACCACCACCACCACCACGGCCCTGCAACAGTTGAGCTCTTGAAGATGGCGTCTCTCTGAGTCACAGGGTAGAGTATAGACTGTACAGATCTATCAGAGGTCTCCTCTTCACCCTGATTCACTGGCTAAGGTTGGGTGCACACTGGATCACATACCTGATGAATAACCGAGCACCCATGTTGACAGGTACTATGCCCTCTGCCAGCCATTAGTATCTGAGCCATAAACAGAACTGAAATGATATAAATGGATAAAGCGTGTCCATTCTCTTTGCTTCTTTCCCCTTACTTTCTGTGGTGATGGGGATCAAATCCAGAGCTTTCCATATGTTAGGCAAGTGCTCTTCCCTGAGCTATGCCATAGCCCTTGTATCTATTTCCAATTAGCAGAAGCCAGAAAAGAAATACATAGAAAGTTTATTTTTCAAACCTTAAATTAGCAACTAGAGGGGATTCTTGCTTAACTTGATCTTTTCTTCTATGTTTGAAAAGTATTTCATCTTTGTTAGAATTTCCTTGGCTTTTTCAAAATCACCTGAAATAAACAAGAGACAATCACATCAGGCAACAATAAAACAAACTCTGGCATCCCAGGTAGGCAGATCAAAGGGCCCAAAGGTTGATGGCTTCACCTGAGGGTGAGCGTACCCTATAGCAACATTTGCCAAAGTCTGGAGATATTTTTGTCTGCCATAACCAGGGAAGTAGCAGTGAAAGACCTACTAGGTAAAAGCCAGGGGCCCTGAGAATGATCTTAGCCTCCCCCAGGAAAAATATTTCACTTAGAATGTCAGGAAGGTTGAGAAACCCCAACTTTAGACAAATACAACACAGTATATTGTGAACCAAAGTGAAGGTCTTTGTTTTTTTTTTTTTTTGGATTTTCGAGACAGGGTTTCTGTGTATTGTTTTGGAGGCTGTCCTGGAACTCTCTCTGTAGACCAGGCTGGCCTTGAACTCACAGAGATCCACCTGCCTCTGCCTCCCAAGTGCAGGGATTAAAGGTGTGAGTCACCAATGCCCAGTTGTCTCTCTCTCTTCTCCCTTTTTGTGAAGGTCTTTTGTAACCAACCCTGGGAATAGTAAATATTAAAAACAATAAACAAGACGGGCGTTGGTGGCGCACGCCTTTAATCCCAGCACTCGGGAGGCAGAGGCAGGCGGATCTCTGTGAGTTCGAGGCCAGCCTGGTCTACAGAGTTCCAGGACAGCTTCCAAAGCCACAGAGAAACCCTGTCTTGAAAAACCAAAAAAAACAAAAACAAAAACAAAAAACAAACAAACAAACAAAAACAATAAACAAATAAGGGGCTGGGAACATGTCTTAGTGTAAGGTGTCCATCCCTCCAGCATGAGGGTATTTGCTACCCAGTGAAGCAAGCTGACAGCCTTGAAGGAAAGAATTAATAGAAAGCGATAAACTAGTGTATAGGAAATATGGAGGACTGTTATGGGTTTCTCTGTATTGCTTTGGAACCTGTCCTGGAACTCTTTCTGTAAACCAGACTGGCTTCGAACCCATAAGACCTGCCTGCCTCTGCCTCCTGGTTGCTGGAGTTAAAGGTGTGCACCACCATTCTTTCTTTCTTTCTTTCTTTCTTTCTTTCTTTCTTTCTTTCTTTCTTTCTTTCTTTATTTTTTTGGTTTTTCGAGACAGGGTTTCTCTGTGGCTTTGGAGGCTGTCCTGGAACTCGCTTGGTAGTCCAGGCTGGTCTCGAACTCACAGAGATCCGCCTGCTTCTGCCTCCCGAGTGCTGGGATTAAAGGCGTGCGCCACCAACGCCCGGCGCACCACCATTCTTTTGTGTTGTATTTGTTTAACTCTGTTACTTTACCTGTCTAAAACACCTGATTGGTCTAATAAAGAGCCGAACAGCCAATAGCAAGGCTGGCAGGCAGACAGAATAAATAACAGGAGAAATCTGGGAAGAGGAGATGGAAGAGCACAAAAGAGAAGGAGAGAAGGATTCCAGGGGCCAGCCACTCAGCTACACAGGAAGCCACAGAGTAAGAAGTAAAGAAAGATATACAGAAAGGTAAAAGTCCAGGGGCAAAAGATAGATGGGATAATTTAAGAAAAGCTGGCTAGAAATAAGCCAGCTAAGGCTGGGCATTCATAACTAAGAATAAGTCTCTGTGTGTGATTATTTGGAAGCTGGGTGGCAGGAGCAAAAGAGTTTAAAAGAACAAAACAGCCACAAAAAACAAAACAACAGAAGATCTACCAATAAGTTGCTTAGACTAGTGGGTCTCAACCTGTGAGCTGTGTCCCCTTTGGGAATCAAATGATCCTTTCACAGGGGTTCACCTAAGATCATTGGAAATATCAGATATTTACATTATGATTCATAACAGTAGCAAGTTCTAGCTATGAAGTAGCAAGGAAAATAATTTCCTGGTCAGGTGGTGTTAGTGTATGTCTTTAATCCCAGCTGGTGGATTTCTGAGAGTTTGACGTCATACTGCTGGTCTACAGAGCAAGTTCCAAGACACCTGCCTAGAAAAATCAAAAGGACAACGACACGGGAAACTGTACTAAAGTGTTGCAGCATAGGAAGGTTGAGAACCACTGGCTTAGAGGATATTAAGTGACACTGAGCCGTGTGTTGGTGGCGCATGCCTTTAATCCCAGCACTTGGGAGGCAGAGGCAGGCGGATCTCTGCGAGTTTGAGGCCAGCCTGGTCTACAAAGTGAGTTCCAGGACAGCCTCCAAAGCCACAGAGAAACCCTGTCTCGAAAAACCAAAAAAAAAAAAAAAAAAAGTTACACTGAAGTGAACTTTTTTTAAAAAAGATTTTATTTATTTATTATGTATACAACTCTCTGCCTCCATGTATGCCTGCAGGCCAGAAGAGGGCACCAGATCTCATTACAGATGGTTGTGAGCCACTATGTGGTTGCTGGGAATGGAACTCAGGACCTCCGGAAGAGCAGCCAGTGTTCTTAACCTCTGAGCCATCTCTCCAGCCCTGAAGTGAACTTTTGATGGTCTCTCAAACCAGACTATTGTCAGGGCCTATCCAGCCAAGTGTGGTGGCGCACACCTTTAGTCCCAGCACTGACTGCTGTTCCAGAGTATTGGAGTTTAATTCCCAGTATCCACATGGCAGCTCACAACTGTCTGTAACTCTAAGATCTGTCAACCTCACACAGACATACACGCAGGCAAAACACCAATGCACATAAAATAAAACAAACAATAACAAAAACATTCCCAACCCCAGCCAGGCGTTGGTGGCGCACGCCTTTAGTCCCAGCACTTGGGAGGCAGAGGCAGGTGGATCTCTGTGAGTTTGAGGTCAGCCTGGTCTACAAAGCAAGTTTCAGGACAGCCTCCAAAACAATACAGAGAAACCCTGTCTCAAAAAAAAAAAAGAAAAAGAAAAAAAAAAAGGTTTATTTATTTTATATATATATATATAGTATTCTGTCTGCATGTACACCTGCAGGCCAGAAGAGGGCATTAAATCTCATTACAGATGGCTATGAGCTACCATGTAGTTACTGAGAATTGAACTCAGAACATCTGGAATAAGTTTAAGCGCCTAACTTCTGAGCCATTTCTCTAGCCCACTAAAATTTTTTTTAGTGAAGAAAAAAATTAAAATTAATAAGTAAAAAAATTTTTTTTTGATTTTTTGAGACAGGGTTTCTCTGTGGCTTTGGAGGCTGTCCTGGAACTCGCTTGGTAGTCCAGGCTGGTCTTGAACTCACAGAGATCCGCCTGCCTCTGCCTCCCGAGTGCTGGGATTAAAGGCATGCGCCACCAATGCCTGGCGAATAAATAAAAATTAAAGAGCCCAGTGAAATGGCCCTGGTGGGTACAGGCCTTTATTTGCTGCTGAACCTGACAGCTGGAGTTTGATTCCAGGAGACCAGACGGTAGAAGAGAAAGGACTCTTGAAAGTTGACCCCTCACACATACACAAATACACACACTACATAAATGTAATAAGAACTTTTTAAAAGGAATGAAATACCTTGTTCAAAAGCTCTGTTTACACTGTCAGTAAATTCTTTCTGTTTAGCTGAAAGAGAAAAATAATTATTTTAATTTTTTATTTGTCTCACAATGACTTATTTATTTATTTAGGTTAGAAACAATCTTGTTTCACATGTCAATCCCAGCTCCTTCTTCCTCTCCTCTTCCCCCTCCCTCCCCACCAGGTCCCCCAGTTCTCCACCCAATCTCCAGTCCCATCCCCAAGAGGGTGAGGCATTCCATGGTGGATCTAGTAACTGTCATCTCAAGAGTCCCGGCTGAGAGAGCCTCCCATATTGTGGCATGGGCACTCAAAGTCTATTTGTATGCCAGGGATAAATACTACCCAAGGCCCCATAGATTACCTAGGCCTCCTCACTGACACCCCCCATTCAGGGGGTCTGGGTCAGTCCCATGCTTTCCACACAGCCATCAATCTGGAGTCCAAGAGCTCCCCCTTGTTCAGGTCAGCTGTTTAATTATTTTAATTTTTACATTTAAATAAACTTACAATAAACCCGATGGTGGTGGGGCATGCCCATAAAACCAGCACTCGGGAGGCAGAGCCAGACAGATTCAGTGAGTTAGAGGTCAGTCTGGTCTACAAAACAAGTTCCAAGATAGCCAGAGATATAACACAGGGAAACCCTGTCTTGAAATGCTCCCCAACCTCCCAAAGAAGAAAAGAAAAAAAAAGTAGACTTACAATGTGAAGACAACACTGCTCTACAGGACTTGGGTTCAGGTTTTTGTTTTTGTTTTTGTGTTTTGTTTTTTCAGAGACAGGGTTTCTCTGTACTGCCTTGGAGGCTGTCCTGGAACTCAGAGATCGCCTGCCTCTGCCTCTCCAGTGCTGGGATTAAAGGCATGCGCCACCAATGTCAGGCTGCTTGCATTCTTTTGACACAGTGCTGGCCAGGCTAGCCCTGAACTCACTATTCTCCTGCCTCTCTCTTGACTGCTGAGATTATAGGTATGTGCCATCACATCTGCCTAGCATCTCTTGTTAAATGCAGTACCGACAGGCTCTATGTAAATTCTACTCTTCAACCAAGGAAGGTCTGGAGGCAATTGCCAAGGCTTGTAAAGTGGCTACGGAATAACATAAAAAAAAAAAAAAAAAAAAAAAAAGAAGAGACAGATCACCATGGTTTGGATGTCCCTCCCCCCCAAAGTCTGGATGTTAAAAAGCTTGGTTGGTGACCGATTTGGCTAATAGAAAGGGGTGGATACTTCAGGAGGCAGGGCTTCAGGTTAGGACTTAGAGGCATGTCCTGGAAAGGAATCCTGGGACCCAGGCTCTGTTGTTTCTCTGTTTTGGCTAGCTGCCTTAATACTCGTTGCCTCCTCTACTCTGCATTCCTGCCACAGCTCCAGGAGAAACTGGGCCAATACACCATGGACTGAACCTCTAAAACTGTGAGTCAAAAGAAATCTTTTCATTCCAGGGTATCATGATAACTAACACAGGAAACAGGGATGTGCTGTGACCATCTCTATCTCAGTCTTCCATACTTTGACACCCTACAATCGTGGTATACACTTGTTACCAAGTAGTTTTAGGCAACCACTTGCAAATGATACAGCCATCCAGGAAAATGAAACCATTTCTATCACACTGTAGCTTCGAAGGGAAAAAAACGCCAAATACAAAGCAGGTACAACTACCTTATTTTCCTATTGTGGTTCATTAGAAAATGAATGATTTTGCTGGGTGGCGGTGGCACACTCTGCTAATCACACCCTGGTCAAGGCCAGCCTGGTCTACAGAGTGAGTTCCAGGACAGCCAGTGCTACACAGGGAAACCCTGTCTGGAAAAACCAACCAAGCAAGCAAGCAAATGAGGGGTTTACAAGTATGCCTTCCAGGTTTAACTATATTTACTTATAATCTCCGAAAACATTTCAAATAAATTGTATCTCCAAGGTAGGCAATGACAGGTATGGAATTCTCCCTTAGGCACACGGCTGGTGAGTGCGGGAGTGAGGAACTGAATCCCAGGGGAAGAAATTTAGGAACTGATCTAAACCCAGCATCTACTATGCTGCTAGAAGTGTTTCACTTAACTTAATCCTTAAGATAATGAATTAATGCTGTCCATTTTATAGACGAAGACACTGAGGCCCAGACACAGAAATCAACAGCGGTGTTGGGACGGGTCCTCGCTCTGGAGCTTTATGTGAGTCAACTCTAGCCCAGATGATGCATGAAGCTTCTGGAGGAGTGTAGCCACTTCTGCTTGCAAGCTCCTGTCTGTCTGCTCTGGACCACCCAGCCCTGACGCTGTGGTTATCTTCATCTGACAGGTTGCTCAGCACTGGTATTTCACTGAGTCCCTGTCATGCTTCAGGTGCTCTTCTGCGCGGGAGCAAAAGAGCAGACACAGTCACACTTCTGCAGAGAACCCAGTATGGGTGTCCATGCTGCTGACCTTCCCGACAGCAGTGAAGTGTCTGCTGTGGCCAAAGGCAGAGACAGAGAGGACAAAGGAGGCTTCGTGAAGAATAATGACTGCTCCCAGGTCGGGGAGAGGAGTTAACATGAACGGAATGAAAAGACCAGAGTTCCACGCCGCATCAACAATGCTCACAAAGGCCTGGCGTGGAAGTGGAAACCGCCAACGTGGCTACAGTGAGACTGTAAAACAAGCAGAGGACAGAACATGCAGGGCCTCAGCAGTTATGTTGAAATGTTTGTTCTTAAACCTAAGAGCACTGACTGTTCTTCCAGAGGGCCTGAGTTCAATTCCTGGCAACCACATGGTGGCTCACAACCACCTTGAATGAGATCTGGTGCCCTCTGCTGGCATGCAGGCAGAAGACTGTATACACAATAAATAAATAAAATATTTAAAAAAATGTGTTTAGACAAGGCTTGGAACAGTGATTTAGGCTTTAAGACCACCCCATAGTGACAGGGCAGCTATATTTTATATGGACTTCTAGGTATAAGCAGAGTCTGAAGGTACTGTGGTTGGATAAAAGTGAGAGGAATCTATTGCACATAGTGAAAAGAGATTGGTAGATGAAGTTGAGACATATTTAGGTCTTTTTTTTTAATTACATTGACGTGTATTTGTGTGTGTGTGTCAGGAGGGGTATGTGCATGCCATGGTATGAATGTGGACATCAGAAGACCATGGACTTCTTTGGGATCAAACTCAGGACCTCTGGAAGAGCAGCCAGTGCTCTTACCCTCAGCCATCTTTCTAGCCCACCCTACATCTGTTTTTTTTTAATGTGCTGACTGTGAGTGCATAGCTGAGTAAGTTTTCACTGTTTTTTCTTTTCTTTTTTTTTCGAGACAGGGTCTCTCTGTATTTTTTTGGAGCCTGTCCTGGAACTCGCTCAGTAGACCAGGCTGGTCACAAACTCCACCTGCCTCTGCTTCCCAAGTGCTGGGATTAAAGGCGTGCGCCACCACTGCCTGGCGGTGCTTAGTCTTACAGCAGATTGATATGTCATACTTTGCTGATGCTCAAGGGAGGCCTGCCCCTTTTTGAGCAAATACAGGAAGGGTGGATTGGGGTGAGCGGTGGAGAGAAGGAGTGGGAGAAGATGAGGGAGGGGAGGCTACAGTGGGGACATAAATAAAGGAAAAAGAAAGAAAGAGAAAGCAAGCTGAGCAAGTCAGGGGAGCAAGTCAGTAAGCAGCATTTCTATATGGCTTCTGCTTCAGTTCCTGCCTCCAGGTTCCTGCCCTGACCTCCCTCAGCGATGGACCGTCACTCTGACATATAAGTCTATTTCAATAAACCATAAGCCCTTCCCTCTCCACATTGCTTTTGGCCATGGTGCTTTATTTAGCACAGCAGTAGAAACCCTGACTATGATATCCCTCAACACTTGGAGAGGGTCTCATTCAATAAGTAAGGTCATTATGTGCAAACACAGGGATTCAGAGAAAGGACTTCTGCCTGAACACTGTAACACAGACCAGCAGGGTGACACACCCATAACTGCAGCACTGAAAGGTAGAGGCAAGAGAATTAAAGTCATCCTAAGCTTGGTAGTGAGTTTGAGGCTGACCTAGGAGGCATAAGACTATCCAGAAGATAAATGAACGAAAAACAAAGCAAACCCTCTAACACAGAGGGTGGGTATGCTCAGTGGTCCAGCATTTACTTAGCAGGTGTAAGTCCCTGGTTTAGATCCCAAGCACCCACAAGAAACGTATTCAAGACTGACATAAAAATCCAGCCTGACTTTTCAGCCTGCTGTCCTGCCGTATAGATTTGTGTGAGTGTATGCAATGTATATTTGCAGGTGCATATGCACCAGTGTGTATGTATATGCATGCTTGTGCGTGTATGTGTGTGTGCAAGTGTGTCAAGGTCGGATGTCATTTGTGCTGTTATTCAGGCAGGCACCGTTCACCTTTTTCACTTATTCTTTTTGGTTTTTTGAGATGTGGCTTTAGAGACTGTCCTGGAACTCACTTGGTAGTCCAGGCTGGTCTTGAACTCACAGAGATCGCCTGCCTCTGCCTCCCGAGTGCTGGGATCAAAGGTGTGCATCACCACTGCCTGGCCACCTTTTTTTATTTTTAAAAGTACGTTTACTTAGTGAGATAGAGAGACAAGGAGAGCCGGGCGTTGGTGGCGCACGCCTTTAATCCCAGCACTTGGGAGGCAGAGGCAGGCGGATCTCTGTGAGTTCGAGGCCAGCCTGGTCTACAGAGCGAGTTCCAGGACAGCCTCCAAAGCCACAGAGAAACCCTGTCTCGAAAAACCAAAAAAAAAAAAAAAAAAAAAAAAAAAAAAGAGAGACAAGGAGAGTGCGAGCGTGTACGTATGCCACAGCACCTGTGTGGGAGCCAGACACTACGTGTGGGAGTTGTGGAGCTGAACTGAGTCCTCATGGTTGTGCAGCAAGCACACATGTACACAAACACCTTACCGCCCCAGGTCTTTCCTGCAATTTCTGTGTCAGCCTCCACACACATATCTGGGCAAATCTGTGAAAAAAATAGACCTATACTCTACTGGTTTTCTTAAGAACCTATTACCTCTGACAGTGGATTCTATCTCTTCCAACGCAGCCTCACTCTGGGCATCTGCAAGTTTCTCATTGATTTCCATTATTTCCACAAGGAACTGACCGTCTGTTCCATAATCGGTCCCTTCAGGAATTTCTATTCCTTGGAGCTTTAGCTATGGGGGAGGAGAGCAAGGAAAATGAGACAGACCAGGGTTAGTAAGTTCTGCTCTCACTGATGCTAATGGAGGAAGACAAGAATATTGGCTGGAGAGGGAGCCTAGAGCCAGCTGCATGCTGAATAAACACTCTACCACCCGAGTCACATGACCAGCCTGGAATAATCGGGCTTGCCTAGGAATAAGGAAAGCAGGGACTGAGCCAAGAATGCTGGTACAGGACCTCGGTCACCTGCAGCCGGATTTTGGATAGTCATACTTCTACACAGATGTTATGTTTACACACATTCTATTCAATTCTAAAATTGCCTAGATGTTCTTGCAAAAAACTCCCCAAGTACTCTTATCATCGTCAAATTTATAGATAATAGTTAAGCAATGCGCCGGGCGTTGGTGGTGCATGTCTTTAATCCCAGCACTTGGGAGGCAGAGGCAGGCGGATCTCTGTGAGTTCGAGACCAGCCTGGACTACCAAGCGAGTTCCAGGACAGCCTCCAAAGCCACAGAGAAACCCTGTCTCGAAAAACCAAAAAAAAAAAAAAAAAAAAAAAAAAAAGTTAAATAATGCAACCAGGAGAAGCTAAGATATCTAAAAGGATTCAGGCCTGGTGGTGCAGCTGCATCCCCAGTTACTTAGGAGGCTGAGGCAGGGAGGTCACAAGTGAAGTCCAGTCTGGGCAGCTGAGTGAGACCCTGTTTTAAGTAAAAAGGCAGCCCAGTGGTGGTGGTGGTGGCAGTGACACACGCCTTCAATCCCAGCACTTGGGAGGCAGAGGTAGATGGATCTTTGTGAATTCAAGGCCAGCCTGGTCTACCAAGTGAGTTCCAGGATGGCCATGGCTGTTACACAGAGAAAACAACAACAACAACAAAAAGTAAAAAGGCAGTTCGGGATATGCTTCAGTGGATTCAAAACCTAGCACACTACACCCTGTCCCCACCCCCCACAAAAAACTCAAAACAAAACACACACACACACACAAACAAACCCCCAGTAATTATCAGTCTCAGTGGCAGAGAACTTAGTTATTATGAGGCACTAGATTCGATGCCCAGTTCTGAAGAAAAAAAAAATTACAAAGGAGCTGGATGTGGGTGAGTTGAAGCAAGAAAATTAGTAACCTGAAGCCAACCTGAGCTGTACAGTGAAATCCTGTCTCGAAAGAAACAAAAACAAGCAAAAATAGACTTACAAAGAATAATACAAAAATTATACTTGTATAGAATCTTTTTCTTTCTGTTCTCTTCTATAACATTTTTTTGAGACTAACTATCATAAGCTTCCTGGACTAGGCCAGGTCTCATACAGAGAAAGTCACATACAGATGGGTTGGGAAATCACCTTACAAGGTATAGTCCCCTGCTCAGGGGAGCCTGAAGAGTCTTATAGGCATCATTCACCAGGGTCGAATGCTTCTCTGAGAAGTATTTTTCAGTCTGTTCATAGAGATAAAAACAGTTTTATTACCAGAAGAGACAGTCCTCTCTGATTCACAAACTTTTATAGTACAGTGATGGGCAGGGATTTAAGAGGCATGGGCAAAATTACAACTGCTGTTGGATGAGTAGTTTGTATTTTCAACGGATGGGTTTTCACTTTTATCTGGGAAGTCAGATAAAAACTGTGAGGAAATGACATCTCTGGGGCCTTGCAGGCTGCCACAGGGTGGAGCTCGTAGCCCAACTCTTTCCCAGATCAACATTGCCATCCACCCAGTTCCACACATATGGGGAATATTAGAGGTAGTCAGTGAATACCTGAGACTTCTGGCTGAAGAAATCTGGGTGGACGAGACGCTGTAGTTGCTGGTACCTGTGCTGAAGCTTCATGACGTCGACCCTGAAGGATCGGTGGCTGGAAGGAAACTAGATGTTACTCATGCAACAGTACTGAGTGTGATTCACTGCTGTCTGATTCTGCTCTTGGGAAGATAGTAATGAACACATAAACAAAGGTCATTTTTTTAAGACGTGGTAGTTGTAACGAAGGAAAATAGAACAGGATCAGAATAAGTAATGTAGGAATGACATTTGAGAGACTTGAATTACGCTACTACTTAACGACCAAAGATCAGAAAGGGACATGAGGGGACAGACGTGTAAGTGCAGAGACCCTGAAGTGACTGGAAGATTAATAGCTTGACAGATTAAGGGATAAGGTTAATGTAGTCCATTGTAAGCACTGTGACTGATGAAAATGGGTACCAGAATTTAGAGCACTTGCTTAACCTGTATGTCCCTTGATTTCTATTTTTTTCCTTTTTTGTGCTGAAGACTGGATCTAGGGTCTCCTACATGCTGGGCAAGGGCTTCAGCACCCAGCCACTCCCTTCCTTTCCCCTTTCTACTTTTTATTTTGAGACAGAGTTTTGTAACTAAGGTACCCAAGTTGACTTGCAATTAGCCTATTTTAGTGCCCCTGATCACTGGGGATTACAGGTCACCAGGCCTAGAGCCTTGGCCATTAAAAGAAAAAAGTGTGTGTATGAGATAAGATCTTGTGTACCCCAGGTTGGCCTCAAATTTGGCATATGCCAAGAATGACCTACAAATCTGGATCTTTCCACCTCTTCCCTCCAGTGCTAGGATTAAGACATATGACAATAAACCCAGTTTATCTGCTTAATTAAAAAAGTAAAAAGGTTGAGTTGAGTGTTGCTAAATTGCTCAGGGCTGAATTTTTTTTTTTTTAATTTATGGTATTCAAGACAGGGTTTCTCTGTGTAACAGTCCTGGTTGTCCTGGAACTTACTTTGTAGACCAGGCTGGTCTTGAACTCAAGAGATCCGATGCCTCTGACTCCTGAGTGCTGGGATTAAAGGTGTGTGTCACCACTACCAGGGATGAAATTTTTGGTCCTTCTTTAGCTTCCTAACTTTCATTATAGGTAGAGACTACCACACTGAGCCATTAATGCCTAGTTACCAGCTTAGCTTTAAAAAAAAAGGTTGAGTGTTGCTAAATTGCTCAGGGTTGAAAATTTTTGATACTTGTTTAGCTCCCTGAGTAGTTGGTCTTATAGAGACTACCATACTGAGCCATTAATGTTAAGCCTTTTATTAAGTATAGTACTGGGATTTGAACCCAGGTCCTTGCTAATTCAAAGGAAGTGTTGTATCACTGAGCCAAAGTGAGGATTAAGCACTTACTTTACTTCTTCCTTTTTTGGGGGGAGTGTTGTTGTAGGGGCGAGTCAGATGGTGACTGTGTAGCCCAGACTGTAGGAGCCTCTTGCTTTGGGCTGGGATCACAGGTGTGTGCAACCACACCTGACCCTTCCATGTTTACTTTAGTGTAATCTTTATTAGTTTAGCTCTGCTCACACTTCCGTACCAATCTCCAGAAGAAACGGAAAGGGGAAACAAACCATGCCAAACATTTCTTGGCCTCTCTCCCTCAAATCTTGAGCATGAATTAAAATTTTGGTTTCCTGAGACAGGGATCTCATTGCTTAGCCTATTTTGGGCTCCAACTTGTGATTCTTCTTATTAATCCCTGAATACTGGGATTCCAGATATATATGTGACCACACTTGTTTTATTCTTTTTCAAGACAGGGTTTCTCTGTGTTGCCTTGGCTGTCTTGGAACTCTCATCTGTAGACCAGGTTGGCCTGGAACTCACCGAGATCCACCTGCCTCTGCTTCGAGTGCTGGGGTTAGAGGCTTGTGCCCTGGCGGTTTGTTTATTTTTAATTGCTTTTGATTTTTGACACCTAGCCTCACGTAGCCCAGACTCTCATCAAACTCACTGTATAGCTCAGGTTGCCCTCAAATCTGTAATACTGCTTCTTCCTCTGAGCTTACAGGCATACACCAACCCAGCTGGCTTGTTTTATTTTTATTTTCTCCTTTAAAATATTTATTTGAGATGAGAACCTTCCCTATTTTTGTGGTTGGGCTCCTACTGGTGATCCTCCCATCTTGGTCCAGATGCTTTTTAATCCTCGCACCGGGGAGGCAGAGGCATAACTACAAGGTGAAAAACAAACTCTGCTCCTTTCTCTTCCCTAGAGTTTAGCCTCTGAACTTCCCCTTTCCAGGAGTCCCGCCCCTCAAACCTCCCTATTCTGTAAATTTGCGCCTGTTTCCTTTTGTTGTTGCTGTTTAAAAACAAAGCCTTTGTAGCAGAGGTTAGTCCTGAATTCCTAAACCTCCCGCCGCCGCTCCACAATTGCTTAGACTGCAGGCGTCTTCAAGTTCACTCTTCTATCCCCCCACCCCCCCCACCCCGCCTCCACGCTTCTTTGCAGTCTGTAACTTTATTTCCTCTTCCTCTCAGGCAAATTCTTGAAATCTGAGCAGGTACTATATTATACAAATGACCTATATGCCAACTCATGTTCTTACTTTGCTTGTTTTCAATCAGTCTCGGTAAGTTGCCTAAACTGGCCTTGAACCGTGGTCATCCTGCCTCCGTCTCCCAGCTGACTGAAAATTACAGTCCCGCCGGCGAGGACCCAAGTCTTAGGCGCCAGGGTAACTCCTGCCTAATTTAACTAACTCAGCCATTGGAGCTCCCCAAGATCGACTCGCCCTCCCATCACTCCGCGCCGCGCGTACCAATTCATGAGGCTGAAGTAGTCCCGAGTCGGGTCTGGAGGCTGCAAGGCGCGGCAGTGTTCGCAGAAAAACCCATCCCCGCTCTCCACACCCCCTGCGCGGCCGCAGTTCCAGCATTGGCCCGCATTGCTTTTCCCCGAGGCAGCGTTGCTGCTCAGCAGTCTCCTTCCTAGGAACCCAGCCAGTCGCACCTCCCCCACACAAAGCAAACCCCGTGCTAGGCAGCCCCACATCCGGACGGCCGACTGTCTGGCCTGGGTCTAGGGAGCCGAGGGAAAGGAAGCAAGAATGACTCCTTGCTGATTGGCTTTAGCGAGTCGAGGAGGCGGGATCAGCCGCGGGAAACCAGGATGCCGAGTCCCGTTCCGCATCCCAAACTACAACTCCCAGCAAGCCTTGAGGCTATCGCGTTGCACCACATTCGGGTCTTCTTATTGGTCGTGCCGATCAGGAAGGCGTTTTGATTGGCTGAGGGTGGAGTTTGTATGGGTAGGTTTAGCGCCACACCACTGGCTGCGGCGGTATCGGGTGTGTGTGGCTCCAGGTGTTCTTTTGCGGTGAGTTTTAGCGGGAAATTTTTCTGGCTGTCTGAGAATTCGAATCGCAATCTCAGGGTCTTCTGCAAGGGAGCGCTCCGCAGCTTCCGCGTGGTCTGTGTGTGCGAGGGGGCGCTGTGCGCAGGCGACTCTCCCCCCCCCCCTTTTTTTTGTTTTTTGCTCCTCTTCAAGGGGACAGTCCCTTGTTATTTACAAGCTGAGACAGGTCTGGACACACGGGAAGGCGCAGAGTTGGGCTCTTCAGTGCCAGAGAGCGAAGTAGTTTCATAGCGAGTATTATAAATGGTAGTGATCATGCCAGGCCTTTGATTCATTCTTCCCCAGTATTTACTGAGGACCACAATCTTCGCTGCTAGGCTCTGCAGGAACTGGAGTGCGCGCGTAAGAAAGTGTGTGTGGGGGTTAGGGTGGCAAGGAGCGGATAGGAGGCAACCAGCCATTCTCAGCTTCTGTCCACGAAGGAAAGGTGGTATTGCGCTGTGAAAGTGGCCGATAAGTTCTATTCGTGATCCTGGAATTTTGCTGTGGTCACTTTTTTTTTTTAAAAAAAACTCATCAATGGTTCTGCCCTTCCGAGGTGGTCATAATATGCCTGTTCCTTTAAAATTTATTTTTAAAAATCGAGTGTGTAAATCTGTGCAGTGCGTAAGGAGGCCAGCAGAGGGCAGTGTATTCCCCAAGAACTGAAACTGTGTTTGTGTGCTCCTGGCTGTGGGTGCTAGGAACTGAACTCAAAAAAAGCAACTGTGCGCTTCTTAACCGCTGCGATGTCTCTGCAGATCCTAAATATACCCATTCTCCGCTTCTCATGTTTGGTGGTACTCGGCACGGAATCCAGGACTTTGCGTCACCTTCTTCACTTATCTTTGGGTGCAGATTTATTTTATTTTTAATTACGTTATGTGTGCCGGAGTGTGCACACGTGAGCGCAAGTGATTGCAGAGGCCAAGGGAGGGCTTCATACCCACTGGAGTTGGAGACACAGGCAGTCTTGAGCTGCCAGACTTGGGTGCTGGGAACTTGCTGAACTTTTGGGTTCTGTGAGAATGGTTCTGCAAGCATAGTTCTGTTCTTTGCTGCTGCGTCATCTCGCCAGCTTCCATTCTTCGTTCTTGAATTTTAGGCCTTGCTCCTCGACTCTCCCCTCATTGTTGGACTCTGTTTTTGAGGTCGGATATGAAGAGACAGCAGTCCCACGGCAGCGGCGCCTGTCCGCAGTCCCAGAGTGGCTTCACCCAGTCACAAGGCACCTGCTCTCAGTTGCACGAGCTCTCCTCACAGTCTCAAGGCACCTCCAGTTCCTCCGCCGGCACAGTGCCGTCCTCCAGCCAGTCCTCTCATTCCAGCTCTGGGACGCTGAGCTCTTTAGAGACAGTGTCCACTCAGGAACTCTGCTCTATTCCCGAGGACCCAGAACCCGAGGAGCCTGGTCCTGTCCCGTGGGCTAGGTTATGGTCTCTTCAGGATGGATTCTCCAATCTGGGTAAGGCAGTTTGTTCTATAGTATAATGTATTGTTTAGGGAAATGGGGTGGTGGTTAGATTGTTGCAACAGAAATCACAGGGCCCTTATAACTGGTTAGAGGTGAGAAGAAAGTTTTAAAATAAAATGGAGGCTGAAGCTGGGTCTTTAATCCCAGCACTTGGAGGCAGACGCAGGAGGATCTCTGTGAGTTCCAGGCCAGCCTCCAAAGCCACAGAGAAACCCTGTCTCGAAAAACCAAAAAAAAAAAAAAAAAAAAAGCATGAATGTCTCAGCTGGTGTTCAGTGTACACCGTATCCTGTTGAAATAGGCTTTAATGCTGGTGAAGGAATGGCCTTGCCAGTAAGATTGAGAGCAAGCAGAAAAGAGAACTAGCCTCCTTTCATGTCCTTTATATGGGCTATCAGCTGAAGGCGTGGTCCTGTCTAAAGGTGGCTCTTCCCACATTAAAAGATCTGCATTAGCCAGGTAGTGGTGGTGCCAGGAAGCAGAGGCAGGCAGAACTCTTGAGTTCAAGGCCAGCCTGGTCTACAAAGTGAGTTAGTTCCAGCATATCCAGGGTTACACAGAAAAACTCTGCCTTGAAAAACCAAACCGAAACAACCCCCCACCTCCTGACCAAAAAAAAAATTATTACAAGGGGATTTATTAAATTGGCTTCCACAGTGTGTTCTGGATAGTTCATTGGTAGTTCTCTTCATGATGCAGAGACTGAGAGCCTAGTAGCTGCTCAGTCTGCAAGGTTGGATGTCTTAGCAGTCACCGTTTGGTACTGACTGGAGCATCACGAGAGAGCTATTGATCTTCATTCTGTGTTGGAGGTCAAAGAAGCAGCAAAAGGTGGTAGCAGAAATAATGGGATAGAATGCACTTACCAGCAAGAAGTGACAGCACTTTCCATTGGACCTTTTTTTTTTATTACTTACGTTTATAGTGTTCTTCCTGCATGTCTGCCTGCAGGCCAGAAGAGGGCACCAGATTTCATTCTAGATGGCTGTGAGCCACCATGTAGGTGCTGAAATTGAACTCAGGACCTCTGGAAGAGTTGCCAGTGCTCTTAACCTCTGAGCCATCTCTCCAGCTCTATTTTCTTCATTTGTGAGACAGGGTTTCTCTGTATAGCACTGGCTGTCCTGTTATTAGCTATGCAGTCTAGGCTGGCATTTGCCTCCCGAGTGCTGGTATTAAAGGTGTGAGCCACCACTGCCCCGCCTACACACATCTCTTTTGACAATGTCTTTCTGTGTAGGTAAGAGTGGCCTTGAGCTTGTCCCCTCTTGGGAGCCTCCCAAATGCTGGGGTCACATGAGCATTACTTCACCGAATTGTTTCCTTGCTATAATTAGCACTACTGAAGAATGTTTGATGCATGAAATTCTAGTCCTCTGCTTTGTGCTTTTGTATTAACAGACTGTATTAACGACAACTACTGGTTTGGGAGGGATAAAAGCTGTGAGTATTGCTTTGATGGACCACTGTTGAGAAGGACTGAGAAGTATCGGACCTATAGCAAGAAGCACTTTCGAATTTTCAGGGTATGTGACAGTTAACCTCTTTCCTTGGAGATCTGGTGATCTAGCCATTGCTCTTGGGTGTCTTGTACCATTAATCCCTGCTGTTAAAACATGGAAATTAAATGTTCTCCATTTTAGGAAATGGGCCCTAAAAATTCTTACATCGTGTACATAGAAGATCACAGCGGTAATGGAACCTTTGTAAATACTGAGCTTATAGGGAAAGGAAAACGCCTACCTTTGAGTAACAACTCTGAAATTGCACTTTCACTATGTAGAAATAAAGGTAATGTTATTATCATATTGTTAATGGGCTTTTCTTAACTTCCTCTGTAAAGGAAAATTTTTGTGTCTTTATAGGTTATATTTTAAATCTGTCAAATTAAGTAAGTTAGCATTAAATAGCTTTCAGGAGTTAACACCATTGTCCAAGGTGTGTTTTTTTTCTTTGTTTTTGAGACAAGGTCTCCTATATGGCTTCCTTGGAACTCACTCTATAGGCCAACTGGTCTTGAACTCAGAGATCTACCTCCTGAGTGCTGAATTTTTTCTTTGTGTGGAGAGAGTGTGTGTGTGTGTGTGTGTGTGCGCGAGTGTGTGTATGTGTGTGTGTGTGTGTGAGAGAGAGAGAGAGAGAGAGAGAGAGAGAGAGAGAGAGAGAGATTTCTTGTGTATGTGCAGGCTTACAGTTACAATCTGAATGTGGTGGTCAGAGGACAACTGTTGGGAGTTGATTCTCTCTACTGTGGGCTCTGTGGATCAAACTCGAGTCATTAGGCATGCATAACAAGTTTATTTTACCTACTGAGCTATTTTGCTGGTTCCTGGATTAAAAAAATTCACTTTGTATTACATGATAAATGTAATTCTATATCTCATATTCTGTATAGCTAAGTTTTAGAACCAGTTTTCTAGTCATGAATTAACAAGCCCATTTCTGTCCTTTTCCCCTTAGTTTTTGTATTTTTTGACTTGACTGTAGATGATCAGTCAGTTTATCCTAAGGAATTAAGAGATGAATACATCATGTCAAAAACTCTCGGAAGGTAAACCTTTTTTTTCTTTATATAGTAAACTAAACCTCATTTCTGCCTACGTATTTTCATTGATTGGGTTTTCATACCTGATTTTACAGCGTTATTATTTATAACACAGCTGCTTGTCGAACTTTGTGGTAGATGTATTACTGATTTATTTAATAATGATCAGTTGAAATAAACTCTTTTTCCTTATAAATTTTAATGCTCAGATTAGCTTGTGCCACCAGGCTCAACTTCACTGGTAACTCGTGTGTGTGTGTGTGTGTGTGTGTGTGTGTGTGTGTGTGTGTGTGTGTGTTGTCTATGTCTGTGTGTATCTGTGTGAGGATGCTTGCATATGGAGTCCAGAGGTCAATATCTTCTTCAATGACTCTCCACTCCTCCCGGTTCTCACTGACTCAGCTTACCTTGCTGGCTAGCAAGCCTCTAGGATGCGCTTGTCCTTAGCTTACCAACACTGAGATTAGAGACAAGTTTTTTATGTATGTTCTGGGGATCCAAACTCAGGTCCTTATGTTTTCGTAGCAAACATTTTATTGACTGAACTGCCTTCCCAGTTTTTATTTTAATTGGTTAAGTAATTTTTTGAGATAGGGTTTCACTTTGTTGCTGTGACTGACCTAGAACTCACAGAGATTCTCTTCTTCTGCCTCCTAAGTGGTTAGATAAAGGGTGGGCACCACCATTCCTGGCTGCTTTATTTTTTTCATGTAGCTTCAAAATCACTTTGCAATCAAGGGCTGTCTTGAACTTGTGATCCTCTGTCTTGCCTCTACCTCCCCAGACAGGAGTCTAAGCCTGCCTCACCATCCCTGGCTATTGATGACTTTTGAGACTCAGCTGTTAGTGACCTGTGATTCGTGGAACATATGACTCACATGTATCTGCATGTGTGTGGGGGCACTCATGCCACACTGAGCATGTAGAGACAGAGACAACTTGCAGGGCTCAGTTTTTTCCTACCACATGGACTGAATTCTGGTCATCATGCTTGGTGGTAGATGCATTACCTGCTGAGTCATCTTGGTGGCTTTGCTAGAGTTCAAACCCAAGATTGTCTGAATGTTTGGTAAAATGCTAGACTTACCTTCAAACCATTTTTAATTAACTAATTATGGTTCTGGCTTTTTTTTTTGGTTTTTTTTTTTGTTTTTCGAGACGGGGTTTCTCTGTATTGTTTTGGAGGCTCTCCTGGAACTCACTTTGTAGACCAGGATGGCCTCGAACTCACAGAGATCCACCTGCCTCTGCCTCCCGAGTGCTGGGATTAAAGGCGTGCGCCACCAACTCCCAGCCTGGCTTTTTTTTTAATACAGCGACTTGCTCCATAGTTTAGACTGGTGTGAACCCACAGTGTAGCCCAGGTGTACCTCAAACCCATGGGCAGTTCTCCTGTCCTGAGGGTTACAGGCCTGAGTTGTGTATCCGGTGTATTTATTGTCAATTTAAAGTTACTTAATTTCTTCCGTGTTTGTGTGTGTGTGTTATAATGTATGTCTGAGTATGAATATGATGTGTGATGAGTATGAGGTATGTATGATTGTGTTGTATGTGTGAGCATGGGTAGGTGTGAATTGAGTGTATAGTGCATGTGAGTGTGATGTTGTTATGAGTGAGGTGTGTGTATAATGTATGTGTGATGTGATGTGTGTGTGAAGAGTGTGTTTACGTGTGAGGTACATGTGATGTGTGTGCCATGGTGTGGATGTGGAGCTGAGAGGATCAGGAGTTCTCCTACCATAGATCCCAGAGATTGATTCAAGTCATTAAGCTTGCTCGGGTCCTAATTTGCTTTCTGTTGCTGTGCAAAGCATCATAATCAAAAGCAGCTTGGGAGAGGACAGGGTTTATTTGACTTACATATCGTGACCACAGTCCATCATTGAGGGAAACCAAGGCAGGAACTTAAGCAGGGCAGGAACCTAGAGACAGGAACTGAAGCAGAGACCATGGAGAAACACTGCTCACTGGGCCTGCTACTGACCGTTCTTCCAGAGACCCCGGGTTCAATTCCCAGCATCTACATGGCAGCTAACAACTATAACTCCAAGATCGACACCCTCACACAGACATACAAGCAGGCAGAACGCCAATGCACATACAATAAAAATAAATGAATCTAGTCTCTGGTGTACTGTACACAAGGGTTGCACAGATGTATATGTTGGAAAAACACCCATAGACATAAAATGAAAAAAAATACTCAGCCATTTAAAATTCAAGTTTCATTAAAAATATCCAAAGTTTTTTATATAATTTAACTTTATTTTATGTGTATTGATGTGAAGGTCTGAGATCCTTTAGAACTGGGGTTGAACTCAGGTCCTCTGGAAGACCAGCCAGAGCGCTTAATTGCTGAGCCATCTCTCCAGCCCAAAAATATCCAATGTCTCTTAGCCGTGGGCTCCTGTAAAACAACAACTATAAGAAAAATAAGTTATTCTTCTAAAAATGAACCAGGTCACAATCAGGTCAAAGGAGAATCAAATTCCAACCATGTAAGTGGCTCAGTGTCCAAGGTCTGACTCACTCATGCTCTTTTGGATTGCAGAAGTCTTGAGGCTTCTCCCACTGTGCCCTCCATAGCACATATAACTTGTAGTCTTAGGCTGGCTCCACACCTGCTGCTGTCCTCAGTGGTCATCCCACAGTCTGGGCATCTCCCTTATGCTGCGGTCTCCAGCTGCCACTGAGCCTGCATCTCTGTCACTGGCCTCCTGGACTCTCTCTAGGGATGCTTCAACCTTGCTACACAGTGCCAAGCCTTGGCTGCTTTCCATGACCCCTTCATACCTTCAAGGCCAGTCTTGTGGGAGACTCTTACACATTATGGAGTTTGATTTGCAGCTTGAGGTGCAGCTTTGTACTTTCTTGGGATCATAGCTTCCGTGTGCTGACCCAGAAGATTGCACCTCAGTGATGCTGGTATCTTATTAATCACAGCTGATTTTTAAGCCCCAGCTAACTAGCGTTGATTATCTCAGTAAACTGCAAAAGGTTTCATCTCACATATTAAATACTCCCTCACCTCCCACCCCTCTCCCCTACCCAGACAAGGTTTCTCTGTTTAGCCCTGGCTGTCCTGGAACTTCCCTGTAGACCATGCTGGTCTCAAACTCAGAGATCCACCTGCCTCTGCCTCCCGAGTGCTGGGATTAAAGGTGTGTGCCACCATGCCCAGCCTCACTTTCACAGAATCTTAATTAAAACTATCACACAAGCCTGGCAATGGTGGTGCACGCCTTTAGTCCCAGCACTCTTGGGGAGGCAAAGGCAAGCCGATCTCTGAGTTCGAGACCAGCCTGGTCCACAAGAGCTATTTCTAGGACAAGCTCCAAAGCAACACAGAGAAACCCTGTCTTGGGAAAAAATAAATTAAAAATTTAAAAAGCCAAAAAAACAAAAATAAAACTATCACACAAATGTGATCAAGTTTTTAAGGGACTCTGAATTTTTCTCTCTGAAACCATGAGCCAGGCCCCGTTATTTGTATTTGTCTTAGCATTGCCTCCCAGCTCTCTATAGAAGAGCCCACTAATCTCTGAGCACTCAACAGCTATTCCAGCTCTAAGCTACAAAATCCTATAATTCTTCCCCCAAACAACATAGTTGCATCCACCACAGCACTTCCCCACTCCTGGTACCAATTTCTCTCTTCTTTTGCTTCCTGTTGTTGTAATAAACACTGACCAAAAGCAGCTTGGAGGGGGAAGGAGTTATTTGGTTTACATGTTCTGATCACAGTCTAATCCTGAAGGAGGCCAAGGCATAAACTGAAGCAGGGCAGGAACTGAAGCAGAAACCATGGAGGAACATTGCCTACTGACCTAATTTCCATGACTTGATCATTCTGCTTTCTTAAACATCGTATGTCCACCTGTCCAGAAATAGTACTGCACACAGTAGACTGGGCCCTCCCATATTAGTCAAGAAATGTCCCACAGACTTGTCTACAGGACAATCTAATGGAGGCATTTTTTTAAAAAATTGAGATTCCCTCTTAGCAGATGATCCTCAATAAAATCAGGTTGACAAAAAAAACTAATGGGCTTATGGGGCAGTCACTTCTGTTTGTTGAGCCATCTGGTTAGCCCCTACCCTTCTAAGATAATTGTGCAATTTAGTGTAAAATGTTTAATTCAATCCCTAACAGAAAAAGACAGCTGGGACATACTTGGCATTCAACAACTTAAAAAAAAATTAGCAAGAGGATTGGAAGTTCAAAGTTATCCTTGGCATAATAGTCATTTGAGGACAGCTGAGCTTCCTAGGACTTTTGTCTCAAAGGGGGATAAGAGGGAAATAAATAGGTAGGTGCTGTAATGGAATTTTCCAGTTTGTAGAGAGGTTAAGACCAAACAAACATAGTAAGATAATAGTCTTAGATAAATAGTAAAGATATACCAATAGCTGCTATAACATGGATGAGCTTTGAGAGTATTAAGTTAAATCAAAGAAATACGAATTCATTGATATGAAATATCAGATAAATTTTTGGAAGCCAATTAGTGGTTGCTAGGGGCAAGGTATAATTGTGTTTACTTAATTGGAACTAGATGGTAGGTAGCAGTTGCAGGACATTGTGAATGTACTTAATGTGGCTGAATTCTACACTTGAAAATGATCATAATGGTACATTTTATGTTGTGTGTACTCAACACAGTAAAAAGATATGAAACCTTTACAATATTCTATCAAGCCGGGCGTTGGTGGCGCACGCCTTTAATCCCAGCACTCGGGAGGCAGAGGCAGGCGGATCTCTGTGAGTTCGAGGCCAGCCTGGTCTACCCAGTGGGTTCCAGGACAGCCTCCAAAGCTACAGAGAACCCTGTCTCGAAAAAACCAACCAAACAAACAAACAAAAAAACAATATTCTATCAAAACCTGGTTGTTACCATAGCCCACTATAGACAGGTAGTGTATGGCCTGTATAGTAGTAGTAATGTAGGATGGATCTGAACTTTGCAAAACAGATTTACTGGGGGTAATAGTGGACTGCGTTCTGTGGGGCGTTTGTCTGCCCTTGGTGGTACCCAGTGAGTCTCATCTTTTGAGAGATGCTGCTACATGGAGAATAATTGTGCAGTGCTTTTGGATGTAGTGTAAGATGCAATTCATGCTCCTGTGTATGCAAATTGTTTGTCGGTAATTATTCTGTATTTTCTCTTTTTTTTTCTGTTCAAGCCTGGATGGGCTGCATGGCTTAGAACTCTCTATGAACCCAAGTTGGTCTTGGTTGGCTGCTGTGCTTTTGTCTGTCTTCTCAACTCTTGAATTACAATTTTGTGATACTCCTGGCATGGGTACCCGTTTTTCATCAGGAAGACTCTTCTATTGATATTTCTCTGACCTCTAGAGAAAGTAAATTCTCTTTTTTATTTTTCTCAGTGTTTTTCCGTGAGCTTCACAATCAAGGGCTGTGATTGGATTGAAGGCACTCCAAACTCAGTGTTGGTGGGTGTGCCACCTCCACCCGTGCTTTTGACGGTTTACTCTGGTGAACTTTCAGTGTGTCCTTTGAACACAGGGACAATGAAAAAATGTTGCATGGGCAATATTTAGTTTCTTGTGTGTGTGTGTGTGTGTGTGTGTGCACATGCACTCGTGTATGTGCATGCATGTGTGCATGTGCAAGCAAAAGTGTGGGAATACATGTGCCGCAGAATTTGGGTGGGGCTCAGAAGACAACCTTGGGTGTGGGCCCTCGGCTTTCTGTCTTGAGACTGGGTCTCTGCTGCTGTGCATGCCAGGCAGGCTGACCCGCAAGCTTCTGGGGGAGTCCTTGTTTCTGCCTCTGATCTTGCTGTGTGAAGCTGTGGTTTCAGATGTGTGTTGTGATGGATGCCTGGTGTGTGTGGCTTCTAGATATTTGAACTCAGATTCTCACACTTGCATGACAAGCACATTACCTGCCTGAGCAACCTCCTCTGTCCCGTGTCTAACTTCTTACAGTCAAGGCAGACTTGGACACGGCGGGTTTCATGATGAACTCATCCTGAACTGTCCCTGTCTTCTGTGTTTTTCCCATTAGTGGTGCTTGTGGGGAGGTAAAAATGGCTTTTGAGAGGAGAACGTGTAAGAAAGTGGCCATAAAGATCATCAGTAAGAGGAAGTTTGCTCTCGGCTCATCGAGAGAAGCAACAGTAAGTATCTGTGTTCTAGGCGCATGGGTCTCCACATTTCTTCAGAACTTCCTGGAGTAACCCTGGGGTAATCTCAGTCAGATCAGATGACTTAGATGTAGTACTTTTTTGTTGTTGTTGTTGTTGTTTTGTTTGTTTGTTTTTTGAGACAAGGTTTCTCTGTATTGTTTTGGAGGCTGTCCTAGAACTTGCTCTGTAGGCCATGCTGGCTTCGAACTCACAAAGATCTGCCTGCCTCTGCCTCCTGAGTGCTGTGCGTCACCAACCCCGGCATGTTTTGTTTTGTTTTTACAGGGTCTCTCTATGTAGTCCTGGCTGTCCTGGAACTCACTCTGTAGATCAGGCTGGCCTCGAACTCACAGAGATCTGCATGCCTCTGCTTCCCAAGTGCTGGGATCACCTCCTGGTTATGCTGTATTCTGAACACTGATTTTGAAAGTATTTGTTAAAGTGTCAGATCCTTATTACCTACCTACAATATATGGTTTTGACTCATTCTACAAGTTATGTGATGATTAATTTTTACTCCAAAAACCACTTTTTTTTCTTTGAGATAGGGCTCTCACACAGCCCCAGCTGACCTTGTACTCATATAGTGAGACTGGCCTTGAAAGTGTCACCAGTGCCTCCTCTGGAGTGCTTGGATTATAGACATATATTCCCATTCCTGATTGAGGTAGCTTATTAACCCACTGGTTAATTAGCTTTTAGATAATTTTGACGTCTGCAAAGGAGAGCAACTGTCTGTTTTCCCGCATCCTGCTGCTCCCATCTGTAAGACCTCCAGTGTTTCCAAAGAGTGTTAGCATTTGTCTGATGTGATTCAGTTCTGAGGCGTGAGCTGAACACTATACAAAAATTCTGGATTATATCAGACAGCTTTAAACAGATTCTCAAAGACATCACTGAGAAGCAATGGTCCCAACTTCCTCATAATTTATACAGATAACAATTCTCAGCTTGGTTGATGAATTAACTCCAGATTCTTTGCTCTTTTGGGTGTTGTGGCAATGACTATGGGTTAGTTATAGAAACACATTTTTTGGGGGGGGGTGGTATTTTGAGACAGGGTTTCTCTGTGGCTTTGGAGGCTGTCCTGGAACTCATTTTGTAGACCAGGCTGGCCTTGAACTCAGAGATCCGCCTGCCTCTACACATTTAAAAATTTTTTTTGTACTTTTTTTTTTCAAGATAGGGTTTCTCTGTTTAACAGTCCTGTCTGCCCTGGGACTTGCTTTGTAGACCAAGTTAACCTCAAACTCAGATCTGCCTGTGTCTGCCTCTCGAGTGCTGGGATCAAAGGTGTGCACCACCACTGCCTGGCTTAGAAACATTTTTATCAAACTCAGGGATTTATGAATGCCAGAGTACTGTACCACTGAGAGAACATTTCCAATTTTCAGTTGCAGATTTTTTAAATGTAAGTTATTTCTATGTAGAAGCAACTTACCACTTTTTATACCCACATTTACTGAATGAGTAAAGTAGCTAGGTGTGTTGTTTTTTTCTTCCCACACACATAACCCAACAAAGTAATGTAAAAAGCCGGGCCCAGTCACTTCTTCCTTTCCAGCCAGCTGTTTCTGGCTTTAACATTCTTTAGATTGTTTTTCCCTAGATAATTCTATTCTTACGTGGCAGGAGGAATTTCCGGTCTGTGTTCACTTTGTTATAGACAGTTGGCCCCATGATTCTGGATTTGCTTCCCATTTAGGGTAGAAAAGCATATCTACTACATTGATAAAAATTTAGGGCCAATCTTCACTTCTTAACTATTCTCTTCCATTCATTGGACTATATGTGACCTCCAGTTAACAGAAGCCCCCATCCCAACTCTGCAGGGTAGTAGTGAGAGTGTGAGCTGAGAGGAAAAGGCTGGGTTTAAAAATTTTAAATCTGGGGGGAGGGGCTGGAGAGATGGCTTAGTGGTGAAGAGCACTGGCTGCTCTTCCAAAGGACCTGCATTCATTCAGTCCTCAGCACCCACACGGCAGCTCACAGCTATCTGTAATCCCAGTTCCAGGGGAACCAACACTCTCACACAGACATACAGACATACAGGTAAAGCACAAGTGTGCATAAAATAAAAATAAAAAAGAAAATACATTTTTAAAAAACTTCAAAATCTGGGCTTCTTAGCCAAAGTCCATTTTGTATAAATATGTACTTTTGTGTCCTCTATGTGAACAGAGGCTGGTTTGTAACTCAGGCAATTTTTAATATTGTTAAAATACTAACCATTATGATTATTATTATTATTAATGAATTCTAATATTATCCTATTCAAGGACACGGCTCCCAGTGTTGAAACTGAAATAGAAATTTTGAAAAAACTGAATCATGTAAGTATTATTATCACTCGTAGAAACTTGTCTCAAAATATAAGATGTGTACAAAGCATTTCTGTGGGAGGTTAGTGTTAACCTGGGTTCCTTTGTATGTGTATACAATCCTATGTAAAGGCTTCATGACTTCCTGATTTATACTCAGTATTTTTGCTGAGATCATGACCAAAATCTTAGAGATTAGTGGTCATATTTGCATAGAAAATGAAAATGTTAGTGAGGTTAATTATACTTGACATTTTGGCACTTTTTTTTTTTTTTTTTTTTTTGGTTTACGAGACAGGGTTTCTCTGTATTGTTTTGGAGGCTATCGGTCCAGCCCGGCCTCGAACTCACAGCGATTCGCCTGCCTCTGCCTCCCGAGTGCTGGGATTAAAGGCGTGTGCCACCACTGCCTGGCGACATTTTGGCACTCTTAAGTACATTTTATTTGGAGTAATCCAGTTAAATCTATGATATGTGACAGGTAAATGGAGTCCCATCGTTCTATCTGATTCACTGGTTTGGGGCCTCTTTCTGGGTGTAAATGGTTCTTATCTCTTTTGTAAGGATGAGTTTGTGTCTGTGGAAGTCACAAGATGAGAAGGCTGTAGCGTACCGGTCTGATCCTGTCTTTCCTTTCGCCAGTTCTTTCAGTGACTTCATTAGTTTATGAGCACCTGTGAACACAAGCTCAGTAGATGCTGGAGTTAAACTTGACCCAAATCTTGCCTGTCCAACTGGTGATTTATCTTGTTCTCACTTTTAACTTCCAAACAGAAGAAATTCTTCTTTCTTTCACCTCCTCATATCCCTCCAGGAACCCAAAGCTCTGTTTATTCTAGATTACTGCCTTTGACACAGCGTCTCCACAGCCCCTTCACAGCTCAGTGGCCGGCCTTCCGGCTGGCTGTCCTCTGCTTCATTCTGCAATGTCTTCCTCTCCTCTGTTCCTCCCTGCTCTCTTTGCCTTTTCCTTCCTTCTGCCTCCCCCTCCTCCCCATTATCTCTGTCTTCCCCCCATTTTTGTTGTTGTTTGGAGGCAGCCTTGCCCTGTTGCCCTGGCTGGTCTGGGAAGACTGAGCTCACGTGATCCTTCCATCGCCACATCTTGAGTGGAGTTTGTTTTTGTTCCTTGCGACAGAAACTGGCTGAATTGGCCAAGCCGGGCTCTGATTCCTGGCTCAAGCAATCTTCCTGCTGCAGCCTGCTTTGCCAGTTTTGTTTTGTTTTTTAAAACACATTCAGTGCTGGCAGGGTGACTCAGAGGTCTAAGGCACTTGCTGCCAGCTCTGACCATCTGAGCTGGATCCTTAGAAACCACACGGAGGAAGGAGAAAATTAGCTCCCACAGGTCTCCCCTGACCTCCACACATGCTCCATGGCATGCATAGATACAGACAGACGGACAAATGAACTTAAACCACTACATACATTCTTATCTCCCTAACTAACTTACTGGTTATTTTGAGCCTTATTAAAATTGAAGTCTTGCCTTAGCACTCAACAGTGTTTACAATACAAGGTTTTACATGTTGGGAGACAGTGGGGTCTCCACTGACTTTCTTATAGCAGTTCACTGCAGGAAGGCCCCCTGATACAGAGCAGCAGTTATGATGAGACTTGCTTTGAAGGAAGAATGCTGTGGTGAGTTTCACCACCCTTTAAATCTTAAACCTGAGGATATTAAAGGCTGTCTGATTCTCACATGATCACAGTCCTCTATGCCAGTTGATACGCACCCAGTCTGTTTCTTTCGCCACCATTGAACTTGGCTGTCGATTGTAAACATAATAGGTGTGCTTTCTTCCCTGCCCATGGTGGTCTGTCCCCAGCACTGATGCTAGATCATACATAGTCCACCATGCTCGAAAGGTCTTCTGCAGTGGGGAGGATCTTATCGTAAGGATTCCTTCCATTCTCTATGCTTCCAGTCCTGGAGCTGGAAGAATCTGGTATCTGGTAGTATAATTGGGCTTTCTCCCTAACCTTCTTTATTGTTGACACAGTCTCATTGCCCAGGCTGGCCTTGAGCTTGTTTTATGATGAGGTTGGCTGTGAGTTCCTTCCTTGCCCTCCCAAGTGCCGGGATTGCAAGATAGTTTCATGATCTCTGGTCTTGTGTCCTATTTCTCCTTCACTCTTGTGCTGGGATTGATTTCGGGTCTCAGGCCTGCTGTGAAAGTTCCCCACTACTGCCCTGAACTACCTGGCTGCTGCTGCCTTATTCTTGGCACTTCTAGGTTCCTTGTCCTGTTTTGGCCGGGAAGACTGCTGCCACTCTTAGGTAGGCTCATACACATATGAACCACCCCTTGCTGACACTGAGTGGTCTCAATGAGGAGTCGGCTACTTCCTTCTGCCTCCTCTTAAAAGCATCCCCAGACGAAGGCCCAGTGTCTGCTCTTTGTCCTCCTGCGGCCTCAATTTCTGTGTCTTGAGGTTTCCTTTTTGGAGTTTCTCATTTCTCCCCTTTTCTCTGTTTTAGCCGTGCATCATCCAAATTAAAGATGTCTTTGCTGCGGAAGATTATTACATTGTTCTGGAGTTGTAAGTAGCAACATTCCCCTTCCAGCGCCTCCTCCCCCCCAGCTTTTGGATTTTAAGACAGAGTTTCTCTGTAGCTTTGAATGGAACCTATCTTGGAACTCACTTTTGTAGATCAGGCTGGCTTAGACTTCACAGAGATCTGCCTGCCTCTGCCTCCCAAGTGCTGGATCAGACTTTTTTTTTTAAAAAGTCACCAGTGCCTGCTCTATCCCACCTTTTCCTCTTTTCCATCTAGGGCATCTGTGCATGAGGTTTATTGTAGTAGGGCATTGTTACAAGAATTTGTTTATTTTTAGGTGTGTGTGTGTGTGTGTGTGTGTGTGTAGGCCATTCTCTGCTTTGTATGCTAATAGGCACCAGTTAGTCGTTTGTCCTGAGTTTCCTTTGGACTGGGTAAACAGTACATACTATTAACAACTGAGCCATTTCTGTAGCCCTCAAGATTATTATTTTTATTTATTTAGAGGCAGGGTGTCATGTATCCATGGCCAGCCTGGGGCTTGCTATGCAGAACAAACTAGGCTGGCCTTGGACTCTCTGAAAGCCCCACTATGCCCAGCCAACCTCATTAATTTTAAGTTATGTGGCGTGGATAAAAATGACCCCTGGGTTTTAGTGCTAGAGTTCCCGGTCAGGGCCTCTTAGATGTGAGGCAAGCGCTCATCCGCTCACAGCCCCTCTCCCCCATTTTGCTAGCTAGCTGAGTATTTCTTTTGTGCTGTGCCTCCGCAGTGAAGGGCCCACTCTGTGTTTCAGGATGGAAGGAGGAGAACTTTTCGACCGGGTGGTGGGGAACAAACGCCTGAAGGAAGCGACCTGCAAGCTCTATTTCTACCAGATGCTTTTAGCTGTCCAGGTGAGAGAAGCCCTCTTGTGTTAGTCAAGGACCAAGGGCTGAGGATTAAAATTCAAGAGGTCCTGTGTGTTTGTTGTTCTGTTCTAGGAAAAACAAAACAAAACAAAACAAAGCCCTGCCTCCATGACTCAGAAGATCAAGCTCTTGCTGTGAGTGTTAAGAGAGACTAAGAAAGGGAACTAATGGAGTGAATATATCACCAGATGTGGTGACGCAGTCTGGAGTTCCATCTACTTGGGGAGGTTAAGGCAGGAGTCTCCAGTTTAAAGCTAGCTGAGGCAGTTTACTTTTTTTTTTTTAATGTACAGTGTTCTGCCTGTGTGTATGCCTGCAATGCAGGCCAGAAGAGGGCACCATAACACATTATTGACGGTTGTGAGCCACCTTGTGGTTGCTGAGAATTGAACTCATGACCTCTGGAAGAGCAGTTAGTGCTCTTAACCTCTGCAGCTCAGGCAATTTAGAGAGAACTTGTTTTGAAATAAAAATGGAAGATACTTCAGAGGTAGAGTGCTTTCTTAGCGTGCACAAAGCCCCAGGTTCACCCCCTAGTATTTCAGAAAAACAAAGTCAACCCCATCTGTGTCTTTGACCTGGAGGGCTTTCTGGAGCAGCTTTGGTATTTGCACCTACCTGATCCTTGTGGCAATGTCTTGGTTTGCAGAGTATAAAGGTGGGATTGAAAGCAAGGCTGACCACTTGGGGTGATTGATAGATAATTTGTTCTTTATGAACTGCACCTCATGGAATAGAGCACACTGATTGATGATGGGCAGGTGTGGGGGCATGTGCTCACACTTTGTCCCAAATTTTGCTGTGGTGGTTACCTCCCAAGGCATGGTAGGTTGGTCAGGGTCCTCTGCGTCCTTTCTCCCCAGTCTCTCTCCTCTGACTTTCTTCTTTATCCTTTCTCTCCTCTGCTGACAACATCTTTCTATGTGGCCCTAGCTGTCCTAGAATCTACTGTGTAGAGCAGGCTGGCCTTGAACTCAGAGATCTGCCTGTCTCTGCATCCCGAGTTCAGGAGTTAAAAGTGTGTGCCACCATACCCAATGAAGTTTCTTCTTTTAAAAGCCCATCCATGAAGGAAATAGCATGGCACTGGGCGATAGTAGTGCATGCCTTTAATCCCAGCACTTGGGAGGCAGAGGCAGGTGGATTTCTGTGAGTTCTAGGACAGCCAGGGCTGTTATACAAAGAAACCCTCGAGGAAAGTGGGGTAGTCTGGATTGGAAGTTTTTGTGAGTGAGAACTGGGGGATTTTTCTGGATTTTTGTTTATCTGAATTTAACTTTCTTTATGTTTTCACCAGATCCATGCCCAGTCAAAGTTTTGGGTTAGATTAATTTTTTTTTGGAGGGGTAGCCCAAGAGCAGGTACTGGTTTTGCGCAGGATTGGAGCATGTATGGTTCACAACTCCTGTAACTCTAGCTCTAGGGGATCTGACACCTGGTCTAAATGGGCTGCATTCACATAAACTCCCTCATACATAATTAAAAATAAAAGAATGTTTAAAAGTGTATTTATTTTTCCTTGATCCTAGATTCCCATCACAACCCCTCCCCACCTTTATTTTTCTTTTCTTTTCTCAGTGCTGGGGATGGAACTCAGGGCCTTGTATATAGGTCTATAAACACACTCACACACACACACACACATACTCACACATGACTTGTATACCTAGCCCAAAAGACCTATCTAAGGATTTTCTTTTTTTTTTTTTAAAGATTATTTATTATATAATCAGTGTTCTGTCTGGATGTGTGCCTGAAGGACAGAAGAAGATACCAGATCTCATTAGAGACAGTTGTGAGCCACCGTGTGGTTGCTGGGAATTGAACTCAGGACCTCTGGAAGAGCAGCCAGTGCTCTTAACCACTGAGCCATTTCTCCAGCCCCTCTAAGGATTAAAAAAAAATTATTTATTAGGTGTGCAGTGTTTTGTCTGCATATATGCCTGCACACCAAAAGAGGGCACCAGATCTCATTACAGATGGTTGTGAGCTACCATGGGGTTGCTGGGAATTGAACTCAGGACCTCTGGAAGAGGTGCCAGTGCTCTTCACCTCTGAGCTATCTCCAGCATCCCTGTCCCACTTTGAGATAGGGTCTCATGTAGCATAGGCTGATCCTCTGTAGCTAAGCCTAGCTTTGAATTCCTAATCTTTTTGCTGTCACCTCCCAAGTGCTTAGATACAGGCATGCACCACCCTGCTTGGCCTCACCATTCAGTCTTCATGATGGATGTCATCTGCAGGACTTGATACCTCATTAGTTTATTCATTTTCCTAGTATACTGGCCAACAACAAGATGAATTGTGCAGATCACTTGATGCCAGTAGGACTTTTTTTATTCTTAAAACAAGTATGGCTGGGCGGTGGTGGCGCACTCCTTTAATCCCAGCACTCGGGAGGCAGAGGCAGGCGGATCTCTGTGAGTTCAAGGCCAGGCTGGACCGACAGCCTCCAAAACAATACAGAGAAACCCTGTCTCATAAAACCAAAAAAAAAAAAAAGTATGACATGAATTGATATTTTGTCTATTTTCATTTTTATACTCTATTTCTAACAAGATAATAATAATAATAATAAACTATAGTCAGTTTTTGCACCTAGAAATAGATAGGTTAGTCACTTGTTACTTTTAGCCTTTACAGTGTTAGGGGGTTGAGCCTGATGAGTACTGTATCACTGAGCCTGATGAGTACTGTATCACTGAGCAGCTCCATCTCCAGCTTTCATGGTGTTCCTGCTTTTATTTTTTTTGGGGGGCGCTATAGGGATCTCAAAACCAGTACCTGCCTTGTGCTTGTGCTGTGCAAGTGCCTTGCCCCTGAGCTATATGCTTCACGCTTCACATTTTCAAAAAAAAAAAAAACAAACAAAAAATGGAGTGTGAGTGTGAAAGTGTGTATGTAGGTTACAGGCAGCTTGCAGAAGTTTGCTTTCATTTCATCATGTGGGTTCTGGGGATTGAGGTTATCTGGAGCAGGATAAATAAAAGACCCAGAGACTGATATTGGGGTTCAAGCTTCAAGTTGAAGATCAGAGAAGCAAAGCAGCCAGACACTAGCTATTACTCTACTCAGATCAAATGGGCGATCCTCAAACTGCTCCCAATTTAACAGCTCCTCAGATTCACTCAGAGATCCATCTGCTTTTCTCCTGAGTCTTGGGATTAAAGTTGTGTATCAGTGTTGCCTGATCTCTATAGTTTGAGGCTGGCTTTGCTTTCTGAATTCTCAGGCAAGCTTTAGTAAATCATAAATATATAGTTGTCAGCTTGGTGGTAAGTGCCTTTACCTGCTGAGCATAACAAAATATATTATTTTGATGGAATTCCTAGGAAATGTTATCATTTATTTAAATATTTATTGAGATAAACACCTTGTATGTCAGTCATTGTGAAGGGATTTTTGTTTTCTGGCATTGTGAAATGCAAGGTTATGCTTTTTAAAGATTTTCTAGTGCCAGGTGTAGTGGTGCATACCTTTAATCCCAGCACCTGGGAGGTGGATCTCTGACTTCGAGACCAGCCTGGTCTACAGAGTTTGTACCAGGACAGCCACGGCTACAGAGAAACCCTGCCTAAGCGCTGATCTAGCCCTGACTTTAAGGAGTGAGCTGACATTTTTTTTTTAAGATTTATTTACTTATAAAGTGTTCTGTCTGCATGTATCCCAGCAGGGGCCAGAAGATCTCTTTGTAGATGATTGTGAGCCACCATGGTGGTTACTGGGAATTGAACTCAGGGCCTCTGGAAGAGCAGCCAGTGTTCTTAACCACTGAGTCAAGTGAGCTGACATTTAATATAGCCTAGGTTCACTCCGGCTAGGAGTGAGGTGTTGGTAACTGTCCTTACATGTATGTGGTATAAACCAATGATCCTGCCTCTCTTTTTGTACAGTACCTTCACGAAAATGGGATTATACACCGGGATTTAAAGCCAGAGAATGTTCTCTTGTCATCTCAAGAAGAGGACTGCCTTATCAAGGTGAAAACTTTTCATCCTCTCTGTTGCCACCACTATATATTTCTGTTCAAAATTGTCTTTTAATCTCTTACATAAAAAATGCAACTATCAGAAGGTTGAGAATCTGAACTATCCATACTTAACAGTTACTGCTGAGATCACACAGTATTCTACCCATCTGTTGAGCACTTACTGAGTGCTGGGGTATATAAGCCACTTTTGTGTTCAGAGGGAGGATAGAATCTCAGTGAACCATTGAGCCATAGTTCCCACCTTTCCTTCTCAGCCTAGCCTTGCTTTAGAGTCTCCCATTAAAACTAGGAGACAAAAACCAACAAGAAGACCCCAAAACATAAAACATGAGAGTGACAACAGGTGCACCCCCCTCCTTAAGCTTTCCTGATGTTCCATGGTATAGTCAAATTTAAGAGTCTTGGGTCTAAGAAGTATGCATAAGTAATAGAGTCGTAATGTTTGTGGCAGGGGTTATGCAGTTTTTGTAAGGTTATAATGATGATAGGTAAATTGTAAAAAACTTTGGTTCTCGGGTTCCTAGGCCCAGGGATTTTCTTTTAAGCAAAAAGACATAAAATATACACTTTGGGTTAATGGAGAGTGTCTGTAATCCAGTTTCCATGGCTCTTGGGAATGATTGGCTATGATTATGTTTGGATTTCATTTGTTGCATTTATAATTTTAGATCACTGATTTTGGACAGTCCAAGATTTTGGGGGAGAGCTCCCTGATGAGAACTTTATGCGGTACACCCACATACCTGGCTCCTGAGGTCCTTGTCTCCAATGGGACTGCTGGGTACAGCCGTGCTGTGGACTGCTGGAGCTTGGGAGTCATTCTTTTCATCTGGTAGGAAACATTTTCTTTGTTTCACAGTCAGGTTGGATGAGGTCAGATGAAACTGTACCTGTGTCAGGGGAAGAGAGCTTCTGTTTGACTTAGGTCACTTTTAAATTGTTGATTCAAGGAAAAGCTGATTTTTCTTGATGCCGAAGAAGAAGGCTGTGTATCCAAATGCCACTGAGATTGCCACTTGATCTTTTCCCCTTTCTTTCTCCACCAATATTAAGCCTAAGTGGGTATCCACCTTTCTCTGAGCATAAGACTCAAGTGTCACTGAAGGATCAGATCACCAGTGGAAAATACAACTTTATTCCTGAAGTCTGGACAGATGTTTCAGAGAAGGGTATGGATACAAAAGGGTTACAGATGTGTGATTTACTGAAATGTGGGTGTTCTGTGGGAGTTTCTTCTAAGCTCTGTGTTGTTTTCTGCTGTTTCATTCCATTGCTTTGCACCATTTGAAAGGAAGAGGATATTATTAAGAGCCTGGGCTTTGCCGGGCGTTGGTGGCGCACGCCTTTAATCCCAGCACTCGGGAGGCAGAGGCAGGCGGATCTCTGTGAGTTCGAGGCCAGCCTGGTCTACAAAGTGAGTTCCAGGACAGCCTCCAAAGCCACAGAGAAACCCTGTCTCGAAAAACCAAAAAAAAAAAAAAAAAAAAAAAAAAAGAGCCTGGGCTTTGGAGCCTGAACTTATGTTCTAGCTCTAGTATTTGTTAGTCTTGTGGCCTTAGGCAAGTTATTTAACTTTTTTGAGTATTTTCTTTATTTGTAAGCGATCAATAACCCTGACATTAAAGTTTTTTTATTTTTTAATGATTTGTTTATTCTTATATTTTATGGGCATTGATGTTTTGCCTGCATGTGTGTCTGTGAGGGTGTCAGATCCCCTGGATTTGCATTTAAAGTTGTGAGCTGCCATGCAGGTGCTGGGAATTGAACCTCTGGAAGAGCAGCCAGTGTTCTTAATTGCTGAGCCTGACATCAAATGTTTTGTGTGAGGTTTACTATAACATTCACAAGGGCCTGCTACCCGTTCAAGTGTGCAAAATAGCTTTACTAGCAAACATTCTCTTTGAGTAAGAAGAATGTGAAAGTTTGATGTCATCGGATACTTGTATTTTATAATCTAAAAGTACAACCTTGCAACTCCCCGGAGAAAAAGTAGATGAAAAGCAAGTGTCCAATAATATAACATAGGTGTTTGTGTTAAATATCAGGGATTCAAGGAAGAATATTGCTATGGCATGCAAGCCAGCCTTTTGTTGTTGTTGACCTGTGGGGTTGGGCTTTATTCTGGCATGCCTAAAGGCAACCCCTTTCTGATCTCTCACCATCAAGAAATGGGATGCAGAGTTTGAGGTACATTCTGAGCATCTCAGAACTGGGTAGAAGTACAGCAGCAAGAAAGGTCAAAAGGTTGTAATGTCCCAGCAGGGAGAGATCTTCTGCATTCACAGAGAGGGAGGGGCTTGGAGGGCTCTCTCCACCAAATTATCAGGCTTCATGCTGCTCTCCCCTCTGGCTGGTGGTTTGTAGTTCTGGCATAGTTTAATAATGCAGGTAGAATGTATTCATTTTTCTAATCATTTTTCCCCCAATTCTCTTGCTACTTTAGCTCTGGACCTTGTCAAGAAACTGTTGGTTGTGGACCCAAAGGCTAGGTTTACTACCGAGGAAGCCTTGAGGCATCCATGGCTACAGGTGGGTGTGTGAGGCAATGCATATTTGCCTAAAGTTCAGGGGAGCTCTGAACTGAGTAAGTGAGGTGAAGCTGAGGGTCACACACAGTCTCTGTACTGTACTGTTGAGTTTATTTATGTGTTTTCAATCAGGTCGTCGGTATAGTGTATGTTTAATTGTTCTCATTCATGTGGAGGAGGGAAAGAGGGAGGAAGAGTTGGGGAGGATGGAAGGGAGGGAGGGAGGGTGAATGAATATGTATTTGTGGTGCCAGTTCTTTCCATGTAACTCGTAGCTGCCGGATGAGCAAGCTTGCTTCATGTTAGGTTCTGGTTCCCTTTGGCTGCCCCGACATTTCAGTGTGGCTGTAATCCTCTGAGAGCTTGGTCTTCCTCAATGCCCAGCTGTCTCCTTTTTTATTCTCCTCTGCCATGTGGAGTGGGCTGGGCTGTGGTCCAGCCATTTTTCACCTTCAATCAAGAAAACTGGGGCAGGTCCAGGAAGGCAGTCTCCCTGGGGGGGAACCCAGTCACTTCCTGAGCCAGGTGGTTATGTTTTCAAGGGTCCCACTCTTGTTCCTGGTGAGCCGGCATGCCCTCAGTGCAAACTGTCACCTGCACCCTTTTAGTCTGTGTGATGTCTGTATTCGAACGTCCTTGTTGCTGTGAGATTTTTGTGCCAAACTCATTCAAAGCCACTGCCAGAGTGAGAGCGTCTGTGTCTCTGGGAGATTAATTGCTGGCTTGTAATTAATTAACCAGAGTATCCAGCATCTTTTCTGGTAGATATGTGATTCTGCTGCTCAGCTTGGCCACATTTTCCTGTGAACTTCCTAATGGCCTGTTTCCTGTGAGGCTGGGTAACATCACCAGGTAGCTGGAGCTTTTGCAACTGTGGTTCTGTGTTCTGGGAACACCTTGAAAAAAAAATCAGGCTTCCCTGATATTCTTTTGGGACTCTGGCAACCCTCCACACATAAGTTTTGGTTAGACCAGCTCAGGTTGAGAACAACGAATCCTTAAGAGGAGGAGGATGGCTGGGCCTGAGGAATGGCTCACCAGGTCCAGCATCAAGCCTGAGGGTCTGAGGTTGATCCTCAGTGCCCAGTGGTGGAAGAGAGAACTGAGTCCTGAAAGTTGTCCCCAGACTGCACACACATGCACATACAGTACATAAACAAAAAACACAATTAAATATTTTTTTAAAAGGAGAAGGGTGGGAAGGGGGCATGGAGGACAGATAGATGTGTTTTGGATGTTTCCCTGGAAACATTTTCCTCCCAGAAGAAATCTGTCAGATATTTAGTGTTGCTAGACCACACAGATCTGAAAGCAGCAAGGGCCTTGGAGACAAGGAGTTTGGAAACAAAGGTGTCTTTGCATGTGGGGATTTACTTTGATGAAAAAAGAGAAACCCATGCCTTGGCTCCTTTCACATGCCTTAATAGGGCAGCTTCTGGAATCCAAATGGGGACAGAAGCACTGTGTTGGCTTTCTGTGTTAGTTTTGGGGAAAAAAAGCCTAGGGCTGGCCAGTAAGGCCTAGCAACGGGAGTTTGTATTTGCCTGAGATGTATGAGTCAGCATAGCCCTTTTTGTTTGTACTTCTTGTCTCAAGAGAAAATTGTTCACAAGCAAGAAAAGGTGCAGCTCAGCTCTGCCCAATCCCATGTGAAGACATTTTTTTCTCAACATTTTGCTCGGAATAGCATCATGGTCACTGGGTGAGGAGAGTGAGGGTGCAAATGGGCTATCCAAACATCTGCTCATGATGGTGAGCTTGAACTGGGGGGGGGGGGGGAGTCTCATGGTTTTGGGGACTATGAATCCTTTTCTCTGTTTTGTCACTAGCTGTATCCAGTTGGGGGGATATTCTTCACACCTTCTTTCTGTTTTGCTTTTAATAAAATGGAAGAAATCTTCCTGCTTGACTTTGAGGGATATTGTAACTTAATGTTTTTGGATGCAGACTTCTGACAGATTTATAGGTAAATCTCGCCATTTGTACCAACGTTGAGATCTTTTTCATCTCACTGTTGACTGATAGCTTGTGAATACTGTGCATATAGCCTCAGGTCATTCTGGCCACACCAAACAACGTCTAGGAGAAGGACATTTGTCTTAATTAGCTTTCTGTTTCTGTACCACACTGAGTGAGAGAAATCAACTTATAAACAGGGAAGGTTTATTTTGGCTAAGTTTTGGGAGGTTTAGTGCATGACTGAAGTGAGAAAAGAGAGGAAGAAGCTCTGGGGAGATGGCTCAGTGGGTGAGGTGTTTACCCTACACATACGAGGATGTGAGAGGTTGTAGATACAGACTCCCCTGATGCTCAAGTCCAGTTAGCTCGACTGTACACAGTGGTGAACCACAACATACTCTTTTCTTTTTTTTCTTTTTGGTTTTTCGAGACAGGGTTTCTCTGTATTGTTTTGGAGGCTGTCCTGAACTCACTCTGTAGACCAGGCTGGCCTCGAACTCACAGAGATCTGCTTGCCTCTGCCTCCCGCGTGCTGGGATTAAAGGCGTGCACCACCAATGCCTGGCGAGACTCTTTTCTTAAACAAGGTGGATGAAAAGTGAGGACTAATATCCAAGGTTGTCTTCTCTCCTCCACATATATGCTATAGCATGCCTGGATAAGATCTGGTAAGATTTGCTTTGATATGTGTCTATGTGTGTGTGGGTATGTGCACATGTGAGTGCCAGTGCCCACGCTGTGCACACACACAAAGATTTTTAGAAAAAGGAAGGGGAGGAGGTCCAAAGTTTGCTTCTAGAGTGTCTTCCAATAATATAACTTCTTTCCAGTGGCCTGTAAGCATGAGTTTTCCACCATCCTTGAGCCCCAAATAAACACACAGATGCTAATTGTGAAACTGTTGGCCAATGACTAGGGCTTCTTATTGGCTAGCTCTGTCTTATTACTAACCCATTTCTATTAATCTAAGTATTTCCACATGGTCTTATCTTACTGGAAAACACCTGGCACATCCTGCCTTTCTGATCTCACATGGCCTCTGCTGTCTGCCTACACTTCCCAGAATTCTACTTGTCTCCTAGTCCTGCCTATACTTCCTGCCTCATTAGCCAGTGTTTTATTCATCAACCAATAAGAGAAATATATATACAGAAGACATCCTTATCAGTGGCCTCTGCCTGTCAGTGCTCCATATCCTTCAGCAGCGCCCTTGTTGTGGGCCAAGCATTTAATATTTGGAATCTGGGAGCACTTATCTAAGTAACAGGGTATTCCAGTGCTCATGCATTGATTGCTTCAGGGCACAGGTAATGAGTTCAGACACTGTTAGGCGCCATGATCTATGGAGCATTGCCACACATAGGGTTTTAGGGGCAGGTGCACTTCAGGGGTGATTCTGCATTAGATCCTAAGGCCATGGAGAACATGTTTATGAGGCTGGTGCTGTCTTGACAGGCACTCTGAGAGCCACTCAGAGTAACCAGTAAGATAGGGATCATCAGGTGCTGCTTCCCTTCCCGAGGGACTCATTATTAGTCCTTTGGTACTGGCAATTTCCCTTCTCCACAAAATTGCTCGTGTTGGAATCCTTTTCTCCTGGATGCCATGGTAGAGGTAGAAAGATGTGGTGAGAAAGTACACAAGGCTTTGAAATGTGGGTCTGTATTCTGTGCGTGCCATTTCTGTCCTAGTTTTGTTTCTCTGTTCCTGTGATAAACACTGACTAAACCAACTTAGAGAGGAAAGGGTTTGTTTCATTTTACACTTCCACACCACAGTCCGTCACTGAGGGAAGTCAGGGCAGGAGCTCCAGGCAAGATCCTGAAGGTGGGAACTCAAGTAGAGACTGTAGAGGAGTGCTGTTTACTGGCGTGCTCTCTGTGACTGACTAACTTCCTTCCTGCCTGCCTGCCTGCCTTCCTTCCTTCCTTCCTTCCTGCCTGCCTGCCTGCCTGCCTGCCTGCCTGCCTGCCTGCCTGCCTGCCTCCCTGCCTGCCTGCCTGCCTGCCTGCCTGCCTTCCTTCCTTCCTTCCTTCCTTCCTTCCTTCCTTCCTTCCTTCCTTCCTTCCTTCCTTCCTTCCTTCCTTCTGGGGGGGGTGGTGGTTTGAGACAGGGTTTCTCTATAGCTCTGGGTGTTCTGGAACTCACTCTGTAGACCAGGCTGGTTTTGAACTCACAGAGATCTGCCTGCCTCTGCCTCCCAAGAGAGAGCCCCAGGGAGTCCCTCCTCTTCCTTATAAAGGGTCCCATCCCCACAACTGAAGCCATACCCTAAGGCCATTATCTTAAGTCTATTGGGTGGAACAAGACGTTGCCACTTACATTCTGGGGTGATGCGACTCAAGGTACACACTGTCAACTCTGGAGTTAGGGTTAGTTCTGAACCATTGCTGGGGGGTCTGGCACTCTGGTCTACTGAGAAGCCTTGACCCTTGTGTTTGATTGAGCTGATGCTGGCTGAGCACTAACTGTTCTGAGAAGGCAGTCACATTGGGAGACTTGAGCAAATGCATGAGGTTTGCTGTCAGGGTGACAGCCTTGGGCATTTACCTGTCACTCTAGTAGCTTGCTTCTCCTCCTGTGCAGCCTGTCTGTGCTTTTTGATCTCTTCACAGGACGAGTACATGAAGAAAAAATTTCAGGATCTGCTGGCTCAGGAAAAGAATTTGATGGCCCTCCCCCTGATTCCCGCCCAGGTATTTTGATGGCTGTAGAATTAAATTGCTGATGAGCAAGTTTGATGAATGAGGATTCTTTGCATTGACAGGTGCTCAGTGACAGGCGTGGTGACACACACATATAATCTCAGCACTTAGGAGGCTGAGACAGGGCATTGAATCCCAACAGAGCAGGAGGATTGGGAGTCATGTGCCAGCTTGGTCTACATAGTTGGACTGTACCCTACAAGTGTGGTGCAGTAGATTCTTACTTTCTACTTGCTGGCCGTACTTGGAATGGAATCTGGGACCTTATGCTGTTTAATCAGGCTCTCCAGCCCCAGCCAGTGTTTCTTTTTTCTTTTCTTTTCTTTTCTTTTCTTTTCTTTTTTTTTTTTTTTTTTTTTTTTTTTTTGGTTTTTCGATACAGAGTTTCTCTGTATTGTTTTGGAGGCTGTCCTGGAACTCACTCTGTAGACCAGGCTGGCCTCGAACTTACAGAGATCCGCCTGCCTCTGCTTCCTGTGTGCTGGGATTAAAGGGGTGCACCACCAACGCCCGGCAGCCAGTGATTCTATGCTTTGTTTTGATATGTTTCTGCAATCCTGGAAGATTTAGTAATGCAGGGGTGTTGGACAAATTGGAGCAGTAGATATAGAGCTTGTCAATCCAAAGTTCTTTTGCATGGCAAGATGGAATACTCTTGGAGGCACAATTTCAAATTTTTGGAAAATGTAAAACATGGGCAAGTAGTCTATAATGTTTTTTTCTTTTAAAATACTTTTTTTGTCCATGTTCATATGTTTTTCAGCCTACAGTGTGATCATGGCCTGAGGGACTCATCTTAATTTGGAGGAGTTTTAAATAAAAAAGTTCCTTCACTAATTCCAACCTCTGTGGCACAATAGAGTGTGTGAGCTCCCTGGTACGCTTAAGCCTGTGCTTGTCTGGGAGCTCTGACTGCCTTAAATCATGCCTCATCCAGAATTTTGCTAGACAGGGAGAGATCCAAATTTGAACTTGCTTTTGCATCACTGTAAGGTAAAAACAAAACAAAATGCAAACAACAACAGACAAAAAACTACATCATTAGTGATTAGAAATCACCAGGCAGAGTAGATAAGCATCTTGATTCCAGAGGTGTGTTTAGGAGGATTCCATTGTCATGACAACTAGTGATTCTTGGTCCTTCCCATTTCCTGTGAAATATCCCCAGTTTACTGCTGTGGGGAGTTTTTGATAGAAGCCATGCCTTTCTCTTGACTACTTCTCTCTTTGCTTTATTTCCAGCCTTCAGGTCGAAAGCGGCCCCTGGAACAGGAAGTGGAGGGAGCCGAGAGCACAAAGCTTCTGGCTGTGTGTGATGCTCGGGTTTGAACATGAAAGAAATGCACTTTCAGCCGGTGGTGGGTGGTGGGTGATGGGGACGCACGACTTTAATCCCCCAGCACTTGAGAAGCTGAGGCAGGTGGATCTCTGTGAGTTCAAGGCCAGCTTGGTCTACAGAGTGACTTCCAGGACAGCCAGGGCTGTTACACAGAGAAACCCTGTCTCAAAAAATGAAAAAACAAAACAAAACAAACAAAAAAAAAAAAAAGAAAAAAGAAAGAAATGTGAGTTCTTTCACACTGATATTGTCTTTTCTTCCTTGAAGTCTTTTTTTTTAAAGGCTGTATATATATATATTTTTAAATGTAGTCTATATTTTAATGATGGGAACGATTGCTTTTCCATTACTGATGCATAATTAAAAATCTTGTGGAAATTGGCCTCTGGACTTATACTTTATGAATAGCAATTTAGGTGAATACCTTTCTTTTTTTAAAAAAAATGTTAGGGGGAGCTGTGTAGAGAGATGGTATAGTGGTTAAGAGCACTCTAGCTGGGTAGTAGTAACACACACCTTTAATCTCAGTACTCAGGAGGCAGAGGCAGGCTGATCTGTGAGTTCCAGACCAGCCTGGTCTACAGAGCAAGTTCCAGGATATCTAGGGCTGTTACACAGAGAAACCCTGTCTTGAAAAACAAACAAAACAAAACAACAACAACAAAAAGGGCCCTCCTGTAGAGGACTGAAGTTCAGTTCTCAGCACCCATGTAACTACAGTTCCAGGGGATCTGATGCCCTTTTTTGGTCTCTGTGGGTACTCATACACCTTCATGCACACAGACACACATAAACACTAAAAAAAATTCTAAACAATGTTCACCAGTCTGGCTTCTCAGGATGTCACTCTGGTTTTAGTTTGTGCAAGTTAAATACAAATTCTAAAGGTCCTTTAGAATGTGTTAATCCCATGGGGTAGTGGTGGTGCACACTTCTGAGTTCGAGGCCATCCTGGTCTACAGAGCAAGTTTTAGGATAATCAGGGTTATACAGAGAAAACTTGTCATACACACACACACACACACACACACACACCCTAAGTCTCTTAGAAAGAAAAGGACAGGGCCTGCCCTGGATGAAATGACAGACTATGGACACCCCCATGGAGGGCCTTACCCTCCCTGGGGAAGTGAGGGGATATTGGGGGGGTTGGTGGGGGAGCGTGGGAGGAGGGGAGGGAAAGGGAGAGGGACCTGGGATTGACATGTGAAGCAACCTTGTTTCTAATTTAAATTTAAAAAAATTTAGCTGGGTGTTGGTGGCTCACACCTTTAATCCCAGCACTCGGGAGGCAGAGGCAGGTGGATCTCTGTGAGTTTGAGGCCAGGCTGGTCTACAGAGCGAGTTCTAGGACAGCCTCCAAAACAATATAGAGAAACCCTGTATCGAAAAACCAAAAAAAAAAAAAAAAAAAAAAAAAAGAAAAAAAAGAAAAGAAAAAGGACATGGTGATGTTGGGTGATTTTTAGTGGCTGGCTGCCAAGGAACCCATGTGGTGGCATGCATGTTGCTCCTTGTGTTATGGTCTGGTCTATAACTCATATCCTTTAGTCTGATGGCTTTTGTAATCAATCCCAGACAACCTGAGCTATATAGTGAGACTTGTCTCAAAAACAAATGAAACAGAGAAGTTATCGTTAGACCTATATGGTTTATATCTCTGAACTCCTGGAGCTTTGTTGAGATACTTTCTCCCCAATTTTAAGGTGATCGAGTGCTTCTTTAAACTAGGTCCTCAGCCATCCTTGTGTTAGAGGGGAAGGTGAAGAAGGTAGAAGCTAGAGACATCTCTAGTGTTTAAGAGCTTTGGCTGCTCTTCCAGAGGACTTGGGTTCAGTTCTCAGCACTCACATGGAGGTGTTAATTCTGTTGGTGAGAGTAAGACCACTACTGTAATTTGAGCCAAATTTGAAGCAAGCTTGGTTTCTATTGGGGTGCACCCAAGTGCCAGGCTGAGTCTGGCACTTGTATGTGAAAAAGGAGGTAGTTCTGAGGCACCTGGGTCTACAAAGTAGGGGAAAAATTCCAAGAGATTTCTTTACGGTAGAGGAAATGTTCTCTGCTATTGTTTTCCTGCTACTTTAATGATATTTTTTTCTTTTCTTTTTGAGAAGTCTGTGGCAGAGAGAGCTGTGGGAAGAATAGTTGGGTGAACCCATTCCTGCTAATTACACCATAGGGTTTGAAAAACTGAGCTCTTTTCATTAATTTTGTTTGTTTTTTGGGGACTTTGGAAGACACAACAGGAATTACACCTGCAGGCCTGGAGAGCCTAGTATGTGCCAGGCATTGTGTGTGCATGTACATTATTATTATTATCATTATTATTATTTTATGTGCATTGGTGTTTTGCCTGAATGTACTTGTGAGGGTGTCGTGTCTCCTGGAACTGGAATTACAAACAGTTGTGAGCTACCATGTGGGTGCTAGGAATTGAACATGGGTCCTCTGTAAGAGCAGCCAGAGCCCCACAATAGGTTTTTTTTTTTTTTTTTTTTTTTTTTTTTGCTGTTGTTTTTGACAGCTGTAGTCCTGGCTGTCCTGGAACTCATTCTGTAGATCAGGCTGGCTTTGATCTCACAGAGATCCGCTTGCCTCTGCCTCCCGACTGCTGGGATTAAAGGGGTGCTCCACCACTGCCTATAAATTCACATTTATTTATTTGGTTTTCGAGGCAGGGTTTCTCTGTGGCTTTGGAAGTTTACCTGGAAGTAGCTTTTGTAGACCAGGCTGGTCTTGAACTCACAGAGATCCGCTTGCCTCTGCCTCCCGAGTGCTGGGATTAATGGCATGCACCCACCACATTTGGCTTACACTGTTATCTTTTTTTTCCCCCCGAGACAGAGTTTCTCTGTATTGTTTTGGAGGCTGTCCTGGATCTCGCTCTGTAGACCAGGCTGGCCTCGAACTCACAGAGATCCGCCTGCCTCTGCCTCCTGAGTGCTGGGATTAAAGGCGTGCACCACCAAAGCCTGGGATGGACAGGGATGGATTCTGGCACTCGAGAGTCAAACAATACTCAGTGTTACAGCTCGGATGGAAAGGTATTCTGGCAATCGGGAGCCAAGGAATGCCACAGGTCACAGTAAGCATAACAGCTTTCAGCCCTGCTTCAGGGAGAGGCTTCCCCAGTATATTAGCTCTGCTCCAGAAGGAGAGAGTTCCCCAGTGAAGTTGATACATTCACCTCCAGTCCCCAGGAAAGTGGAGTGTAACAACGTTGCTTCACCAGGGAAGGAAAATTTCCTCAGTTAAACAAGATCTTCACCCAAACCTCATTCAGGAGATTTATTGGGAGGGAAGGATCCAGGAGAGTGACTGCCAGAGTGGCAGCCGGAACAGCCACAAGGTGAACAGACACAGGATTTATATAGGGATTCTTAGGGGGTGGAGTTTTTCCAGGGTGAGGATTGGCCAGATTTCAATCCCTGACCTTAGGATGGCTAGATCTGCTCAGGGATTGGCTAGTTTTCTGCACAGGTTTAGGGTCATATTTAGTTCTGGTTTCAAGGCCAAAGTGTGTTTCTATCCTGGTCCTTTTTAGCCTTTTGGCTCTAATTTTAGGGCCGGGATGTATTTCTTTCACTGGCACTGATTCCAGGGACAAAGTGTGTTTCTTCGGCACTGGTTTCAGGGCCAGGGTGCATTTCTTTGGTTCTGGTTGCAGGGTCAAAGAGTTTCTTTGGCTGGCCCTTTTTCTCTATACTCATAACACTAGGTCTCGCCTCTAGAGAACCAGCTAGTGAGGACCAGGATGCAGGAGGTGGGCTTCTGCAGATTCCATCCTAACCAGACAAGGGAGAGCGCTCACGCGGGCCTTGCACGCCAGCATTCACCGTGTCACCTAGGCTGGTGCGCTTTCCCTCGCTGGGCCTCGCGTGGTGCCCTCCGGGTGGTCCGCAGTGCGGCGGGGGAATGCTCAGAGCCGGGAACAGCGACCCCCGCGTCGGGAGGGCTCGAGCTGGGCACGCACTTGCGCGGTGCGAACTGGCTCGGCCGGCGGGCGGGCGCGTGCGCGTTGAGGGGGCGCTCGGCGGCGCGCGGCACGGCGGGAACATGGCGCGCGGGAGCGGGGCGCGCGCCTAGCTGGCGGGACCGTTAGCTCTAGGCGGACGCCGAAGGGGCCCCGCGGGGATGGAACAGACGCTGACGCTGGCGCCCGAGCCGGCCTCGGCGCGGAGCCGCAGGCGGCGGGAGCCTGAGTCTCCGCCGGCGCCGGTGAGTGTGAGCGGGGCGCGGGCCGGGAGACTTTCTTTGTGAAACTCCGTCGGTGAGAGCCGGGCCGGGCCTCGGCGCCTGACGACTGACTTGGAGGCCGAGGGGCCCCCGCGTGACTCTTCGGGGTTCGAGCCCCGCCGCGAACCATTAGGCAGACCCGTCCCGCCATCTGCCTGCCTGCCTCAGTTTCCACGGGTGCGGGCGCCCGCGCGAGGGGCTTGGAATGCCACGGGCACCTCCTGTTCGCACCACCTCTTCCTCGACCCCGCCCCCTCGCAGCGGGCCGGGACCGGACGGGATGGGCGTGGGGGGCGGGGTACCCGAGCCCACCGTGGCTGCAGGCAGCCGCAGGGATGCTCAGGTGTTGCCATTGCATCCCAGGTGTCGGTAGGGAGTGGGCTTTCCGTTTCCAGAAGGCGACAGGGTGGTTAGTGCCTCATCGCCGACAGAGACTGGAAAGCTTGAGGTCCACCAGTTGTTTGGGTGTGTCTGTCAGACTGAAGGATGCTGAGCAAAATTTACTTTGCCTGGCTGGGGCAACCTTTCTCCCTGGACTTTTACCACCAGCCCCCCAGCCACTAACTAGCCAGGGCATAGAAATAATCTGGAATACTTTATTAAATTAAAATATAGGCCACACACTGCGCCAAGAGTTGCATGCACGAACTGGTTTCTCAATGCAGAGGAGAGTTTTTGAATTTTCATCAAGCTCTCGAAGTTGTGACTGGAGGAGTTTGCTCTGTTTTTACTTCTGCACGGTGCCTAGCATGTAGCAGATGTTTAGTAAATATCTGTAGAACTGAATGACCCTGGAGTTGCAACCTAGGAACTCTTGAGATAACTTGAGGTGCCTTTTGAGATAAATATCTGTCAGCTTTCTTTCTTTCTTTCTTTCTTTCTTTCTTTCTTTCTTTCTTT